AAATAGAAAATGACATCATAGTCATGGCTAAACATAGCAAAAACCTTAATCAGCATCATTTAACAGTAATATCTAAAAATAAAAATTTCTTTGCAACCATAAAAGTAAAATAGAAAATGACATCATAATCATAGCTAAAAATAAACAAAAATTTTTTTTATTACCAAATTTTAAATGGAGTTTATTAAACTAAAACAATAAATTTGCAACCATAAAACCCCATTTAAACACATCATAAAAGTATTAAATAATTCAACTACATCATAAGGCTATAAAAATAGAAAATGACTTCATAGTCAAGGCTAAAGGTAAACAAAAAACCTTCATCAGCAAAATTTTATATTGGCAAATTTCCAATGAAGTTTATTATACTAAAATTGTTGGCAAATTTCCAATGAAGTTTATTATACTAAAATTGTTGGCAACTTTCCAATGCATTTAATAACAATAAAGTTATTGGCAAATTTCCAATTAACATAATTTAAAAGCAGTGTAAGTGAGATATTTAAATGAGTTTGAATTACCAACCTTACACTGCTTTTAAATAATGTTTTGTACTTATTTGTCTATTAACCTGGAAACCCTTGTTTTTTCACCTTTTTTTCCCTTATTATTTAAAGGTTTGAGCCATAACCCTACCCCAAAGCCAATTCTTAAATTCCAATGTAACCTAAATTTACAATATACATAACTTCAATTTAAGTTTTTGATAAAATCAAACCACATCATTATTATTTGATTTTATATCTAAATCAGAAATAATTAACCAACTTTAAGTGGAAAATTTTCACACATCACGCCCCCCCCAAACTCAATCCCAGCCTTCAGTTTGTGGTATGGTACCTTGCAGTACAATTTCACAGAGATCCAATTACTTAAACACAATTAATTGTTGGAAACTAAAAAAAAAATGCTTATTTTTAACCCCTTTTTTAGCCCCTTATTCCTAAACATTTGAGCAATTATCCCCCAAACTCAATTCCAACTTTCTCTTTGTGATCAGAATTAACCAACTTAAAATGGAAAATTTTAAAGAAAAAAAAAAGGAAAAAAAATCCCCCCCCCAAAAATTTTTTGACCCACTTCCCTTTGTGGTATGGTACCTTTAAGTACAATTTCAGAGAAATCCATACACTTGAACACAAGTTAATGTCTGGAAACTAAAAAAATGCTTATTTTTGCCCCCTTTTTTGGCCACTTATTAATAAATGTTTTGGGCAAACATTTTACAATAATATTTAAAACTGAAATTAATTTGTAACCTTAAAATTAAATAGAAAATGACATCATAGTCATAGCTAAAAATAAACAAACTATTGGTAAATTTCCAATGGAGTTTATTATATTAAAACAATAAATTTGCAACCATAAAAGCGCATTAAAATACATCATAAAAGTATTAAAAAAAATTTAACTACATCATAAGGCTATTAAAATAGAAAATGACATCATAGTCAGACTAAAGGTAAACAAAAAACCTTCATCAGCAAAATTTTATATTGGCAAATTTCCAATGAAGTTTATTATACTAAAATAATTGGCAAATTTCCAATTTACATAATTCAAACATAGTGCAGGTGAGATATTTAAATGAGTTTGAATTACCAACCTTACACTGCTTTTAAATAATGTTCTTTACTCAATTATTTGTCTATTAAAATGGAAACCCTAGTTTTTTAACCTTTTTTCCCCTTATTCCTTAAACAAAAAAAAATAATTACCCCTTTTTTGACCCCCCCCCCCCCCCTATGATTCATCACCCCCCCTTCCCCCCAAAACCAAGCTCAATAACAGCCTTGCCTTTGTGGTATGGTACCTTGTAATACAATTTTAGAGAGATCCATACACTTGAACACAAGTTATTGTCTAGAAACTAAAAAATGCTTATTTTTCACCCCTTTTTAGGCCCCTTATTACTAAACGTTTTGGGCAATTACCACAAAACTCAATTCCAGCTTTCCCTTTGCGAAATGGAACCTTGTAGTAAAATTTCAGAAAGATCCATACACTTACACACAAGTTATTGTCATGAAACTAGAAAAATGCTTGTTTTTTGCCCCCTTTTGGCCCCTTATTCCTAAAATTTCGAGGAAATTAACCCCAAAATCAATCCCATCATCGACCCTTTGTGATATGGAATCTTGTAGTACAATGTCAAAGAGATCCATACAATAACACACAAGTTATGTCTGGAAGTTACAAAAATGCTTATTTTCGGCCCCTTTTTGGCCCCTAATTATTTAACTGTTGGTACCATAACCCCCAAAATCAATCCCCACCTTCCTATTGTGGTATTGAACCTTATGGTAAAATTTCATAGAGATCCATTCACTTAAACTAAAGTTAGAGTGCGAAAACCATTGTGTATTCGGACGACGACGACGACGCCGGACGACGACGACGACGACGCCAACGTCATACCAATATACGACCAAAAAATTTTTAATTTTTGCGGTCGTATAAAAATGATTCAAGACTAACAAAGGCTAGAGGCTCCTGACTTGGGACAGGCGCAAAAATGCGGCGGGGTTAAACATGTTTTTTGAGATCTCAACCCTCCCCCTATACCTCTAGCCAATGTAGAAAAAACAAACGTACAACAGTACGCACAGTAAAACGCCGTTTAAGAGAAGTCCGAGTCCGATGTCAGAATAGGAAACAAAAGAAAATAAACAAAATGACAATAATACATAAATAACAACAGACTACTAGCAGTTACTGACATGCCAGCTCCAGACCTCAATTAAACTGATTGAAAGATTATGTCTTCATCATATGAATATCAGGCACAATCCCTCCTGTTAGGGGTTAAGTATTATACCGTCATAAAATATATGAGAAGAGCATAACCCGTGTCATGCCAACAACTGGTTTTAGAATAAATATGTTTAATTCCGATGCAAAGACCCTATAAGTGAATCAATATTAAAGCCAAAATATGCAATTTTTAATGACCTGACAACAGTATCGTAACTATATCCCTTCTTAATAAGTCTGTTTAAAGGTTTTCTTAGCTTTTGAGGTGAATACTGACATTTTTGTGCTTTGTAAAGAATATTACCATAAAAGATTGGATGTGAAATACCCGAATGTATAAGATGTCTGCATGTTGAGTTATATTTACGAATGATGTCCTTATACCGATGATAAAATTTAGTAAATGTTTTGACTAGTTTATGATATCGAAACCCTGGTGTAATAATTTTTCAGTAATATATAAATTTCTCTCGCTAAAATCTAATACGTTGTTACATACTCGAGCGAATCCTACAAGTTGAGATATATAAACACCATAAGATGGTGACAAGGGAACATCACCATCTAAAAATGGATAATTAACGACAGGAAATGAAAAATCATCTCTTTTATCATAAATTTTTGTATTACGCTTCCCGTTAATGATATAGATATCAAGATCGAGGAAAGGACAGTGGTCATTGTTAGTATTAGCTTTATTTAAAGTAAGTTCAACAGGATTAATTTCTTTAGTATACATACTGAAGTTATCATTATTGAGAGCTAATATATCATCCAAATATCTAAAAGTATTGTTAAATTTTTGTATCAGATGTTGTTTCGATGGGTCTTTGCTAATTTTAGTCATAAATTGTAACTCATAACAATACAAAAAACAGGTCCGCAATAAGTGGTGCACAGTTAGTCCCCATTGGAATTCCGATAACTTGACGGTATACGGAATCTCCAAAGCGAACAAAAATGTTATCAAGTAAAAATTCAAGGGCAGATATAGTATCAAAGCATGTCCAATTGACATAGCTCTTTTGTTTGTTGTTACTAAAAAATGACCTAAAAGAGTTTGAACATACGTATTCGCATTCCGACTTTTTAAATGCCCATTTAATTAGGTGTGTGAATTTTTTCTTAATAAGAATATGAGGCAAGGTGGTATATAAGGTAGAAAAATCAAAACTTTGAACAGATTCAAAATCACCAATATATGCATGCAATTTATCAAGTACTTCCAACGAGTTTTTGACACTCCAAAAGTAGTTAATTCCACTATTTTCAAAGGCCTTATTTGAACAATTTATTATCAGGTTTTTGAATGTACCAAGTGTACTAGTAAGTAGAATAGACAATTTAGTAGTGGAACAATGACTTGAAGACGAAATAAATCTATATTTGTAAGGTAATTTGTGTAGCTTCGGAAGCCAGTACATAGTTTGGACTTTCATTGTATTTGGTTCTGCTTGTAAAGAAGTAGCTAATAGTTTGCTTGTTACAGATATCGTTTTCTGAAAATGAAGTCAGTTGGAATTTTGGTGAATTCGTGATTTCCTTTTGTAGAATTTCAATGTAAAATTTACGTCAAACTATAATGATATTATTAGCAGCTTTATCAGCCGGTACAAAAACAAATTCCTTGGATAGTTCTTTTAGTTTATGCTGAGACTACTATAACACTGTGTTAAAGTAGTCTCAGGTTTATGTTTGATACGAGAGATAGGATTTTTATGGTTGTTGCTAAATGACTGTTTTTTTCCAGATTGGACTAAATAGCGATAAGGTGTATACACTAACCAAAAAACGATTGAAAAATTATTTGACACATAACCAATAAAAAAAAGGGTGCAAACATGTAGGGTGCGAAAAGACCCGGGGTGTGAACGTCAAAGGGGGCAAACGTTAATGGGAGCGAACATGATTTTGGGCGAATGGACCCAGATTCCTTTCGAGGTATTCAAGTACCAAATACCTCTGGAAAAATTGACCTACTGAGAATTTGGCTATTCTTTTTAGGTCTCTTTTTGGTCATATAGTCCTCAAGTATTCAGGTATTTATGTATATCCTGTTAATTTTGAGGGCTTTTAAAAGTTTTGATCAGGAAGGCAGCGACATATATATATATATACTACTAGTATATTATATCTGTCTCTGAGGAAGGTAAAATAAAAAAATACTGACTGATTAATAATCTATGAAATAGACATTATCATTTGTACTGTTAAAATCTGGACACAACATCTAAAGTATTTACCTCGAACAAAACGATAAAAACCAGACGACACACTTCTTCTACATAACACGTTGAACATTCGGCAAAATGTGTTGTTGGTGACACGACTGTGTCTGTAAAATGTTTAGAATGATGAAGATTATTGTTATTACTTCAAGCTTCAGTAGCACCTTGATATAGTAGATTCCAGTGCAATCAACATTCTTCGGGGGTCTTTACCTCTTTACTTGGACTTTTATCGTCAATTGACCATGTGTTATCTTTAACATTGGTTTGCAAAGGATTATAAATGAGAAATATCCAATTATACAACACCCCAACGATGATAAACCAAAAGATCAACACGGACAGCGAATAATTTATTGTCTTAAAAAAAAGTACAGGTGTTATGTCCGTAACCGGTCCAACTTTTAGACTTTCATGAAACGTCAAAACAGTTAACATCATAAACATGGATTTGTTTTGAACGACCTAAGTTGCATGTGACTTGACAGGTTTTAAGATAATAGTATGATGTTACAGATAAGGGAACAGTCTATTTATTTTTCTTTTGAATGTCTACCAATCATGGAACACCACATACATAATAAAATTGAGAATGGAAATGGGGAATGTGTCAAAGAGACAACAACCCGACCATAGAACAGACAACAGCAGAAGGTCACCAACAGGTCTTCAATGCAGCGAGAAATTCCCGCACCCGGAGGCGTCCTTCAGCTGGCCCCTAAACAAATATATATACTAGTTCAGTGATAATGAACGCCATACTAAACTCCATCTATACATGTATGGAGAGTTGTCTCATTGGCACTCATACCACATCTTCTTATATCTATGTTTGTGAACTAAACAAAATGTTAACATACCCAAATGTTCTATTTAATCTATGTTTTAACGAAAAATGGTTGGTTTCCAAACCCAAATTATGATACATCATAAAAAACTATTAAAGAATTAATTCACGCATGAAACAGGTCTTGTTTTTTAGCATAACTGTTCATTCCACAAAACACCACGGACAAAGTTTGTTACTTTCCGCGTATCTTTCTAATTTTGGAACATTAAAAACGTAACAATTAATGTCTTCATCGTCCGTTTTTGTCACATCTCTAAATCTATTAATATAAAACATTGTATCTTCATACTCCGATTTGTTTGGATCGAGATTTACATGTCGAATATCCTGTTTTGTTCTGTTGCAAATAACTATCGTCTCTTTCTTTTTAATTTTTCCCAATACAGATCGTCTGTTATAAACTATTTTCTGATAGTGGCTAACGTTATACGGATCCTTCCCAGTAATTATTGATTTAGGTGCGATTGTTTTTATTTCCTCTATATCTTCATGTTGAAATTCCTTTTCATTTGTGTGTACACCTTGTTTTTATATTTCCGCACTCGTTCCACATATCGAACTACGCCACACTCTCTTTTCTGGTGCGGATTCATTGTCTTTATTGGTTAAAGAAATTCTACAGTTTAAATTCTACAATAATTGTACGACAAGGGTGGTTTTAAAGACCTTGACTACCCATGCACGGTCGGTAATTGTAGAAACAGAGACTACCTATTTATAATCATTATGTGTCAGTGCATTAATAAAAGTATGATTATCAAAAGTAATTTGCAATATACTTTTTTTTGTATGAATCAAAGAAAGTTTTGACCCTTAAGGTAACATTCTTATATGATTCTGTATTCAATGTGTATTTTATTCCTATTTTCAATGATAGAAAATATTTTTAGGATTACACATTTGTAATAAGCTAAAACAGGGGGAGTTACTCCAAAATTAATTTCCAACACTTTTGAAATACACAGATTATTTATGACCTAGTGCTGAGGTAATAGACGTATGTTGAATATAAGCTCTAGACTCATTTTATTACGTACACAAACAGCTCTCGACTCATTTTATCATGTTTATTACATACACAAACTGAATAAATTCAAAACGTACGTCCTCGTTTTTCGTAATCAGATATACAAATTTGTAGGAAATTGTACGACTTACAACATGGCAGAGTGTCATAATGTGCAAGAATTAACGATTTTGAGTTCATTAGTACATGTATATTGATTTTTATATTGATTTTTGGTTTTATTGATTTTTGACGTTTGAAATTAATTTATTCTTCCCAGACATTATATAAATAACACATAGCTGAGAGGGTGATAGAGCAGATTGTTACCCTGAGAAAACATTGTCAACCGAGGCGAAGCAAAGATTGACAATGTTTTTCGAGGGGTACCAATCTGCTCTATCATCCTCTCAGCTACGTGTTATTTAATTTATTATACTGAAAGTACTGAACTATGACGTCATGTACATAACCATGATAACAACGTTTCAGTTATTAGAAAAACAACAAAAGTGAAGCAAGATATATATTTTTTTTTTGGTAAGTCTATGAAAAAATTTCTAAGACCAAAACGTAGAACTAGAGCATTATCTTTAAACTTTGAAAACTATGGGGTTAATTTAATTCATTGTCCATTAAATTATCAATTTTTGATTGGTCTGCACGAGAGGGTGACATGCAAAAAATTATCTCCCGCTGAGCCATGGGATAGAGTAAATTGTCTCCCTCTTATTAGCCAACCAAAAGCTGGCATTTTAACGTGAAGTATAATAATACTAATTATTAGGACTTCTTGGAAGGGTGCAATCAACAAGAATGTAGTCCACTTAGATGTTCACTGTTCAAGATTCGACACTAACATTTTACATATACATCCCAAGTTAAAAAAAAAATCATTTTACCTACCCTATGAGTGTTTTCCTTAGGATTATTTAGAATAGTAATAATTACTTTGGGTCGCCCTGCTTTGTTTAGCACCTCTTCACTACCCACTGTCTGAAAAAATTAACGCCTTTGTTTTTTTTTTTATTGATTTTATTCATGTTATTTGTAAAAGTGAAGTGACAAGTGACAAAACACAACAGGTGATTAACCGTATCATAGGAAATTCAGCTGAGTGATAATTGGCTACAAATCACATGTTGGATATTTACAATATAAAAATAAGGAGATATGGTATGATTTCCAATGAGACAACTATCGACCACAGTTCAAATGAACCTCGTTTATGAAAGTGTACCCATTTAAATGATACATGTACATTAAGATAAAAGTCAGATTAATCCTGCACACACAGCTCCCTTTATATTTTCTTGCTGGTCAACAAGGGAGCTTAATTATAAAAAATGTCAATATTTAGAATATTTCAACACTATAGAAATTTCAGCAGAAATAGGTGAAAAAATGTATAATTCAGGATTTTTCGTTTGCTACAATTTAAAACATTAAATAATTATTTGAATTGGCCAATACACACTGCTTTTAATGTTGAATGATTATGCCAAAGAAATAAAGTTAAATGGAGTTGTGAAAACCTACAGAAGATTTAAAAGACTTCGAACGTGTATAAACCAAATTGTAAATCAATATCGGAATCTCTTTTCAATAATTTCTTGCTCATTTTGGATTTGAATTGATCATAATGCAGAGTTTTAATATGCCTTTTTTAGCTCACCGGGGCCTGAAGGGCCTCATGTTAGCTTATGCCATCACTTGGCGTCCGTCGTCGTCCGTTGTCTGTTGTCGTAAACTATTTCAAAAATCTTCTCCTCTGAAACTACTGGGCCAAATACCTTCAAACTTTAACTAAATCTTCCTAAGGGTATCTAGTTTATAAATTGTATCGGAAGTTTTGATCCATCGACAAACATGGCCGCAATGGCTAAAAATAGAACATAGGGGTCAAATGCAGTTTTTGGCTTATATCTCAAAAACTAAAGCTTTTAGCATGTTTAGAGCAAATCTGACATGGGGTAAAATTGTTCAATTGGTCAAGATCTATCAATTCTGAAATTTTCAGACGAATCGAATAACCTTTTGTTGGGTTGCTGCCACCGAATTGGTAGTTTTAACAAAATTTTGCAGTTTTTTGTTATTATTTTGAATATTATTATAGATATATATAAACTGTAAGCAGCAATAATGTTCAGCAAAGTAAGATCTACAAAAAAGTTTATATGATCATAATTGTCAATTGACCCCTGAAGGAGTTATTGCCCTTTAAAGACAATTTTACACAATTTGTTCATCAAGTTTGCTAACATTTAAAAATCTTCTCCTCTGAAACTACTGGGCCAATTACCTTCAGACTTTAACTAAATGTTCCTTAGGGTATCTTGTTTATAAATTGTATCCGAAGTTTGTATCCATCGACAAACATGGCCGACATGGCTAAAAATAGAACATAAGGGTCAAATGCAGTTTTTGGCTTATATCTCAAAAAATAAATCTTTTAGAGCAAATGTGACAGGGGTAAAATTGTTTAATTGGTCAAGATCTATTGGCCTTGAAATTTTCAGACGAATCGAACAAGCCATTGTTGGGTTGCTGCCACCGAATTGGTAGTTTTAACAAAATTTTGCAGTTTTTTGTTATTCTTTTGAATATTATTATAGATATATATAAACTGTAAGCAGCAATAATGTTCAGCAAAGTAAGATCTACAAAAAAGTTTATATGACCATAATTGTCAATTGACCCCTTAAGGAGTTATTGCCCTTTAAAGACAATTTTACACAATTTGCTCATCAAGTTTGCTAACATTTAAAAATCTTCTCCTCTGAAATACAGGTGAGCGATTCAGGCTCTTGAGAGCCTCTTGTTACTCTTGCGTATATTTTCTCTTGCCTTGAAATGTTTTTATCTCTATATTGAGAAGTATGTATGCTGTGTACAAGTTATAATTTTGTACAAATCATATTTTGTACAAAACAATTGTACAAATTATAATTTGTATTTTGACTTTGTCAGTTTGTACAAATTGTAATTTGTACAAAATGATAACTTGTACACAACATACATGTATACATGATTTATATATGTAGAATAGAGAATGTTATGAAATAAATGCCATAAACATGATAAAAGTTTCTGACTAGTAATCGCCAAATGTGTGATACTGCCAGGTAAACTGTTTCTAATTCGCAAGTAAATTTCTTATTGTTTCCAGTAAATTTGACGACTAGAAAATTGTGACGTTTAGATCTGTATATAAATAAACAAATTGATGTGGATGCACAGATCATAACTTTTATGGAACTCAAAGTTTCATCATCATAACCAGCAAAAATGTCTAACTTTCATAATTGACCAACTGATCATTGTTTTTGTATTTAATTTGATTAGAACTGTGAATTTGTTATTATTCTTTTGAAACCAATTTTCATGGATTTAATGAATATAAGTAAACCATGAATTTAAAATCTAACAAAGTACAAATTTTCGATATGCTTGTATGAGGAACAAAAAAAACATCCACCAAAATGCTTTTTTTCCTCAATCCACAAAATTGGAATCCATAAAAATAAATGAATCCACAAAGAAATAAAACCAATTTCATTTACTGTAAAATGTATTTGTTTTTAATTTTTTTTAGCTTCTACAAAGTATTCCAAGGTGACATGTGATTCAGCTAAACTTTGTTACCATGGGAACTGGGGGGTCATTTCTACATAATCCAGAGGATGATGATATCCTTGGAAAAGACCTGGATGGCAGTAGTAGAGGTGTCATCAAAAGAATACCGATAGAAATTAGACCAAGAGGACGACTTGGTCTTAAAAGTGGATCCAGTCGTAAAGGGCCAAAGGGAGGAAGTCTTAGTTCAGCTCTTTCTGTAGAGATAGAGAACACAGAAGTAGAGAGGATAAGAAAAGAGTTTGAGATGTACAGGTATTCAATATTTCCATTTAAGAATCATCAGAAAGAATTGACAATTAAAGATTTGTTACTGTAACAATAACATATAAATTGTCACTCATTACAGGAAGTATACTGTTAAACATATTTTCATCAAACATCCATCATGTTAAAAAAATAACGTCTAAATAAAAGGATTGGGACCAGTTTAATAACTTTGTCAATATAACAGAACTATAAACAACTGTCCTACAACTTGGAGGTTTAGAGAGCTATACAACCAGGCTTAACCTACAATTTTCTTTGGAAAATGCCTGTACCAAGTCAGGAATATGATAGTTGTTTTTCACTCGTTCCTTTGGTTGATAACGTTTGATTTTGTCAGTTTTTATGGACTTCCCCTTTTTGAATTTACCTTGGAGTTTGGGTTTTTTGTTATACTTTTTTAAATAACTGATGAGGTATTTTCACAAAAAGTGTCAGTCATTGCCAAGTATATATTTCAGAATCAATAAAGACAATGAAATGGCAAACATGAGTAGGAAAGAACAGCAACTAATTAGAGAAAATAAGAAACTGAAGGCAGAATTAGTAGTACTACAGAAAACTTGTACTAACCTCCGGGGCGAGAGAGATATGTCACTTGAAGCAGAACAACATGCGCTGATCAGAGCTGCTACTTTTGAAGATGAACGAGGAAAACTGCAGAGAAATTTTAAAGTAAGGCCACCTGTAACAAATTCTTTGTTTGATGTTGCCTACCCATGCCTTGTATGTTGGGAAGGCAGGTAGGATTTTTTTTTTGGGCCAACAACATAAGTTACATGTTTTAGAGAAGAAAATGACGTAAGAGCATGAACAAACTTGAAAAAAAAATTTGAATTTTTTTTGGTAGGCTGCTTTTTAGGTGGGTAGGTAGGCAATATCAAACAATTTAAATTTTATGTTTGGCCTAATGCCTTTTTAGAGAGTTTTTTTGAAATGGTTGATTGAATCATAATATTATATTTGTTCAATTTGTTTCTGTTTTTTCAGAAAATATATCTGTATAAGGGGTCATCACTTTTTCTATATTACCCCACAATGAGTAATTACTTTTTTTTCAGATAGATTTTGAAAAGCCATAATTTAAGTGTCTTGAATCATGAAACAGCAATGAAAGATGAATGGGGGTTTACAGAATATAAGAGAATGATGGGCAAAATGTGGAGAATAAAGGGCTAAAAAATAAAGAAATGAGAAAAATAGGCAAAAAAAAATAGAATAAAGAATAATGGGGTGCAAAAATATAAAGAATAGAGGAAATGGGCAAAAAATATAAGGAATAGAGAAAAATAACATTAAAAACAAATAATACAGAAATGAAGGACCCCTTTCTAGACCCTTATGAATAATCAATGACATTTTGATATTTTATCATGTTCATGTATAAATTACCAAATTTGATGTTTCTTGTAAAACAAGTGCTTGAAATATAGCAAACATAAAGAATAGAAAAAAATCAAAGATTATGGTAATCGAACCATAATCAGTTTGATGGTCAAATATTTATAATTTGTCCAGAAGCTTAAAAGGGTAAAATGCAAAAAAAGTTACCAACAAAAATAAATTGGTAAGCCTAACCCTACCCTTGTGGTCAGTCATGGCCTGATATCTTAATTTTGCTGGAGAAAGCCGGAGTAGGTATATACCTTAAATAACTTACATTTGGCAAAAAAGAAAACTGAAAGTCTTAAAAAAATTACATTTCATTTTTGTCGAGCCTGCGACTTCTGTCGCAGAAAGCTCGACATAGGGATAATGATCCGGCGGCGGCGGCGTTAACAAACTTCTTAAAAACTTAATATTTCAGAAGGTAGAAGACCTGGATCCTTCATACTTTGTATATAGATGCCTTATGTTATGAAGTTTCTGTCTGTCATACATGTATGTCCATTGTCCTTGACCTCATTTTCATGGTTCAGTGACTACTTGAAAAAAGAGTTAAGATTTTTAGTATTCTTAATTTCTCTCTTATTATGAGTAATAGGATAAGTATATTTGGTATGTGTATACCTTGCAAGGTCCTCATGCCTGTCAGACAGTTTTCACTTGACCTCGACCTCATTTCATCAATCAGTGAACAAGGTTAAGTATTCATGGTCAAGTCCATATCTTAGGTACTGCAAGCAATAGGTCTACTATATTTGGTGTATGGAATGATTGTAATGTGTACATGTCCAACTGGCAGGTGTCATCTGACCTTGACCTCATTTTCATGGTTCAGTGGTTAAAGTTAAGTTTTTGTGTTTGTGGTCTGTTTTTCTTATACTGTAAGCAATAGGTCAACTATTATTGGTGTATGAAAATATTTTATGATGTACATATTATGCAGGCATGGGGCGAATTACATTGCAATGTAATGCATTACATTACAATTACTTTGACAAAACCATGCATTAAATTACAATTACAGTTACATGCATTTATCAAAGTAATGCATTATATTACAATTACTTTTGCAAAGTAATGCATTGAATTACACATTACATTTTAAAATTTTATCATCAAGTGAAAAGAAAAATCAAGCATTTTGAAAAACAACATGAAATCACAAAAGATTCTAGCATATCATTGGCTTTAGTATGAATAAGTTTAGACGAGAGATGTTTTCTGCTTGGAATGTTAAATTTTGGGTCAATTTTTTACGTTCTTGAAGTTTTGGCTATCAATTGTAGCAAACAGAAGTAAATCACCAGCAATATACTGAATTAATGCATCTGTAGCCTCCTTTTGCTTAGGATCATCCCAATGATATTTTGGACTACCTGACTGTTTCACAAACCTTATCAAAGTTGGTTCCTCTTCTATCTTTGATTTTAAAGTTTCAATATATAATACATATATGTGTTTCTCTAAAAAGAAGTGACCGAGATGAAGTTTAATCTTCATTTTAACTTAATGGTAACTTTTCTTTTATAAATATATATTTGTTTTTGTTTTTTTTAATTTCAATCAAAATATTTATTGAGAAATTATCTCCTAATTATAAAACAAACACAGAACTTAATTTATGACCAAATGTTGTTGATTGTAAAACAAACTAATTAGTGTTTTATGACAATGTTCAATTATCTGTTATTTAATTATGACAAGGTACTCTCTGATCTTTTGACAACAATGGAAAACTTTTACAGTAATGCTTTTCAAATATCAATCTTTTTATGCAGGAAAATATATGAAATAAATTGAAATAAAAAACTAAGTAAGAGAATGATAATCCCATTCTTTATGATTAAGTACAAGTGGGTAAAGTGTAAAAAATAAATAGAAAATCGATACTCAAATGATAACTTTTTAGTTAATCAAGAAATCTTATATTCTGCTTTTGTTACATATCAAACAATCTGTTAAAAGATATATATATAGTATCAGAAAAAAGTAATGCCATGTAATGCCATGTAAGGCATGAAATTACACAACTTTTTGCTAAAGTAATGCATTACATTACAATTACATGTAATGCTAAAATTGCTAAATTACACATTACATGCAATTACTTGGAAAAATGTAATGCATTACCATGCATTACAATTACAAATTTGCATTACCCCATGCCTGGTACATATTAGTCCAGCTTGTTTTATTTGACCTTGACCTAATTTTTACAGTTCATTGCTCAATGTTAAGTTTTTGTTTTTTGGTCTGTTTTTCTAATACTATAAGCAATAGGTCAACTATATTTGTTGTATGGAATGATTGTAAGGTGCATATGTCCGTCTGGCAATTATCATTTGACCATGACCTAACTTTCATGGTTCATTGGTCAATCTTAAGTTTTCCTGGTTAAATTTGTTTCTTAGATACTATTAGCAATAGGTCAACTATATTAAAAGCATGTAATGATTGTAAGGTGTACATGTCTGTCTCGCAGGGTTCATCTGACCTTGGCTTCATGTTCATGGTTCATTGATCAATGTTAAGTTTTCCTGGTTAAGTTTGTTTCTTAGATGTGCAATAGGTCAACTATATTTAAAGCATATTTGGTATATGGAATGATTGTAATGTATACATGTATTTCCAGTTTGGTTTATCTGATCTTGACCTCATTTTCTTGGATCATGTTAAGTTTATGTGATGGTTGTAGTAAAGCTTATTATATAATTATTTAGGACTATCAACATAATAACAATGGTTAGTAAAGAAGGCGAGACATTTCAGCGTGTGCACTCTTGTTGAAAATTTTATAAATATTTTTTTTTTAAAGATTTTCAGAGAAACAATGGAGAGAGAGTTACAGAATATTTTAAGAGAAAAAAGAAGGTTGGAAAATAAACTGGCAAAAATTGCTTTAGGTTATTCCATAGAAGATGTTGATGCTCAGTCCAGACAGGAATTTGATGAAAATAGTAAGTAAAGATAAGTGCACTTCTTAGTAACTGACACTACTGCTGTTTTACATCTAGATAGAACATAATTTTTATACGACCGCAAACAAATTTTGCGGTCGTATATTGGTATGACGTCATCGTCGTCGTCCGAAGACACATTGGTTTTCGCACTCTAACTTTAGTTTAAGTTAATGGATCTCTATGAAATTTTACCATAAGGTTCAATACCACAAAAGGAAGGTTGGGATTGATTTTGGGGGTTATGATACATTTGTACCAACAGTTAAGGAATAAGGGGCCAAAAATAAGCATTTTTGTAACTTCCAGACATAACTTGTGTGTAAGTGTATGGATCTCTCTGACATTGTACCACAAGGTTCCATATCACAAAGGGAATGTTGGGATTGATTTTGGGGGTAATTGCCTCAAAATTTTAGGAATTAGGGGCAAAAAAAGGGGCAAAAAACAAGCATTTTTCTAGTTTCATGATAATAACTTGTGTGTAAGTGTATGGATCTTTATGAAATTGTACTACAAGGTTCCATATCACAAAGGGAAAGCTGAGTTTTAGTTTGGAGATAATTGCCCTAAATGTTAAGGAATTTGGGGCCAAAAAGGGGCCTAAAAACAAGCATTTTTCTAGTTTCCAGACAATTACTTGTGTTCAAGTGTATGGATCTCTCTGAAATTGTACTGCAAGGTACCATACCACAAAGGGAAGGCTGGGATTGAGTTTGGGGGTGATTAATCATAAGGGGGTTTAAAAAATTAGGGGGAGGGATTTTTTTCTTCTTTAAAATTTCATTTTAAATTGGTTATTTCTGATTTATATATGAAAGCAAATAATAATGATATGGTTTGGATAGGTAAATTAAAAATTTTTAAGTTCTTAGACCACATTCATTCTGTGTCAGAAACCTATGCTGTGTCAACTATTTAATCACAATCCAAATTCAGTGCTGTATCAAGCTTTAATGTTGTGTCCATACTTGCCCCAACTATTCAGGGTTCGACCTCTGCGGTCGTATCAAGCTGTGCCCAGCGGAGCATTTTATTTATATTTATACCTGACACTTTTAAATTCTTTTGAAGACATTGTAAAAAATATACTCAAAACAACTATTTTTTATTGATTAGACGACCTCAATTGACCTGTGGATTCATTATTGTTCTTGGGATACCAACTTTCCTTGATTACGTGGATGTTTATGAATTTAAATGTTCAAGGAAGTACAAACATTTTTAATATATGCTGTCGATATGGTTGATATTAAAGTCAAATAGATTCACAATTATTGCTTTTAATGATTAATATAACATGAGGCAACTATCCACCAGAATCCAAATGATATGGATTTAAGCAACTATACACATGTAGGTCACTGTATGTCCTTCAATAATTAGCAAATCTCATATTGTATAGTCAGCTATAAAAGGCCCTGATTTGACAAAATGTGAAACAATTAAGACAAAAAAAAAACACTACCTGATTTATGACATTTCAATAAAGGAAGAACAAATATGACAAACCAACCACAACCACAGAATTTCATGTTCCTGACTTGGGACAGACACACATAAAATGTGTCAGGGTTAAACATGTTTGTGTGCAGTCAACCCTCCCCTAACCTGGGACGATGGTGAAAAAGTACATTATAAAAATAAGCTGTAAAAATCAGTTGGAAATGACTTGACTCATCAGATCAGCATGAAGCACAAAAAACAACTAACATGAAGACAAAAGAGACAAAGTTCTGATCTAAGAGTACTCACAGTTACTAAAAGAAATTTCAAAGCCTATAACAACTAATAAATAGATCATGTTCTCCCATACTTAAGTTACAATCAGTACACATCCAACAGATTTAGTGTAAAAACGTCATAAATAGTCTGAGAAAAGCATGACCTTGTGCAATGCCAAAATATAAGTACACAATTTCGACAGGATATAGGACAATAAGATTTCATAAATGTAAAGTAATGTATAGGTTGCAATTCTGTAAATATAGACAATGCAATTTCCCATAGGAACTCCTTTTATGGCTAAAACTGTACCACTTTTACTAGGAAGTTTCTTAAAAAATTATATCCTAGAATGGAAAGCTCATATGAACTATAATTTTTTTCAAAGGTCAAAATATAGGGCTGTGCAGCATATTTTCAACATTTATATGCCCCGAACTTCTAAGAGTTTAAACTTATATTAAAATTCTGTACTACCCTTCCCTTCACTTTGGGTCTTCCACAGATTTCAATTTGGCCGCTATTCATGTGTATTTATACTGGTAACAGTACTAAGTTATGTCTCTACGAGATGAAACATAGAGATCATATCTGGAACCAGTAGGTAAACAAAACAAAATATCTATTAATATTATATATCTCCCCAAAAGAGGCGTGGTTTGTGAAACAGCTGTATTTACAAAGTGCAACCTATATTTAGTTTTGTTTTAATTTATCAAAAACAAAATCAATGTGAAAACAAATAAAAACAATATTCAATGATCTTACTACCATGTTAAATTATTATCCTCTGAGGATAAGTTTACTTTAAGAATCAATGAGTTTATATGAATCATATCTTAATTTATGGGCTGTATCACATAAATTGCACGAAAATATCCCCCGGCCGAATGGTTTATAAAAAGCAATTGTAATATTATTAATGTAAAATGAAAATTTATTGCTGATGAACTAATTTAAACCCTATCATACAAAAGGTTTAAACATTGAAACTGTGAAAATAACAAGCTGTGAAAATATGCAGACAATATTGACAGAAACATACCATACACCTCGCTATACTACAGTGGATTCATTATTATTTGTTGAAACCAATTTTCGTGGAATTCTTGGTATTCAGTTAACCATGAATTTAAACAAATTTTTGTTAAAAATGTTTGCAGACTTTGGCAAAACAACGAAATCAAATATCCATGAAAATGCAAGTTTTCCTCAATCCAAGAAAATTGGTAATTATGAAATAAGAAATGAATTCACAGTATAACATAAAAATAATCAGCACAATCAGAGCTTGTTGAAAAACTTTTTTCCCCACAGGTAACAATAACCCTGGTGAGTGGTGGCCCAATATGGATGGAGAACCTTCCCTCAGTAGTACAATGCAGCTACAACAACCATCACCAAGGTTACCAGAGTTTGTCCATAGTATGGTAGAACCAGAAGGGATGTTTACCAATGTCAATAAAGGTAATGCAAAGTTATCTCCCTTTGTTTAATGTATAGTAGAAATGACAGAGATTTATGCTGATACAGGTGTCAACCCCCCTTTTTTACATGCTTTTATATCAAGAGTTGTCTCACTTGTGTGAAGGGTTCAAGATTTGTACTGTATTGCATTGTTGATGCAAGTGGAATATTGCTGTGGAAATGATAAGAAAAATTGTGTTAATTATAGGTAATCATATGGCTTCACAAAGATTTTGAAAAGATAAATGTTAAAACAAGTTTCATCAAAGTATCTTGAACATTTTGACATAAGAAATGTTAGCCTTTAGTCGTAGCCCATAGTTGCTTAAATCAGCTTCATTTAGACTTTTTGGATAGTTGTCTTTTGGCAATTATACCGCATCTCTTTATTTTATATGTATATTTACAGAGGACTGGAGTACTGTATTATCCAATTTGTCACAAAATTTACCTAGTGTTCCAGAACATTCACTCAGTCCTGTGCTTAGAATCTACATTTCTGCTCCCAGGGACACACATACAGAGGTTGAAATCTTGATCAAGGTAAAGTCATGGCCATTAACCAGGATTGCTATGTTAATAGAAAAGAAAGGATATTAGGTATCCATCCATGACACAAAATCAGTACATGCACAGCAAAAAACACAAAAAGCAAAGGAGGAATAGCGCTTTTATTGCTGTTCTTCATCTCAAAATCTTCATGTCGCTTAATTTTACTACTCCCTTAAAACATTCACCGAGTTCTGTGCTAAGGAGAGTTGAAATCCTAATCAAGGTAAGTTTTCTATCTACACACCAGCAATCACACTAAGTCTTATAAATATAAATCCATCTTCTTACCAGAGCTTATGTATTATACTATTTTACTCATTTTAGTCTCGCCTGCGATGAAAGTTTGACTACTATTTTGAGGCCCTGTTCCTTAGGCCATTGGTCCAATGACTGAATTAATAAGCAATTTTGAATGATAAATTTTTCTGCTTAAGTTAGTATGATATGAACTACTTGCAATAGATCAATGATATTTTCTATAAAGTTGCCTTAAGCTTACTATCAGTTTGATGACTATTTCGAGGCTCTGCCCCCTAGGTCATGGTCCAATGGCTTTCAATCAATTAACAATTTTCAATGTTAAGTTTTATGATTAAGTTAGTTTGATAGGAACTACTTACAATAGACAATATTTTCTATAAAGTTACACTGCTGTCTGTACATCTCAGTTTGTCAACCATTTTGAGGCCCTACCCGCTAGTTGGTCCAGCGACTTTTAATTAATTAGCAATGTTGCTGTCCATCAGATTGTCTTTTTCTGAATTTTATGCTGACAGGCGAGACATATCTCTGTGTCAACAGTTTATTGATGATTTTGATTAACTCCAATTATTAATCAGTTACTATAAACATCACATCATACAATGAACTCGGCCATTTTGTTCTTCAGAGATACACAGGTTAAAATCCTGACCAATGTAACTTTAAATTCAGACAGAAAACTTTTGGCTGGTGACCTTAGATATTCATATGTGTACCATAAACTAATTTAATGATGCAATACCTCATATCCAAATATTAATAAACATAATTTTCAGGGTTCAAAAGAGTGTCAATGAAAAAGAGGCTGCAAAGTTTCCTCCCATAAACAATAATCAATGAAATATCTTTTTTTTTTGGAGGGGAGGGCAGAATTGATACAAATTTGGATTAAACTTGTCTTAGTGTTTGTGGTAAAAAAGAATAGACATCAATGTTTGGCTTGAATTTACAGAAAACCTGGAACACATAGGTTTTACTGTATTGGTGATTTTCTCTACCTCACTGTTACAGTTACTGTGGATTCATTATTATTCGTTGGATACCAATTTTCGTGGATTTAGTGGTTATAGGTTCACCACGAAATTAAATGTTCAACGAATGGCAAATTTACTATAGGCTTGTATGCAGAGATTGTCAAAAACCACAAAATTAAATATCCACGAATATGTAAGTTTTCCTTAATCCACGAAAATTGGTACCCACGAAAATAAATGAATCCACAGTAACTGTTATTTTCTGTTTTTGTTTTAGGATTATTACCCACGTCTGCAAGCCATGTGCGAAACAGAAGGTAGAAGTTTAGTGATGACACACCTGCCTTATGATGACACATCAACAGTATCACAACAGGTAAGTCAGATTAATGAGGACTTGTGTCTAGGGGCCAGGGGTCTGCAAGCCATGTGTGAAACAGAAGGCAGAAGTTAAGTGACGACACACCTGCCTTACGATGACACATCAACAGTATCACAACAGTAAGTCAGGTTAATGAGGACTTGTATCTAGGGGTCAGGGGTCTGCAAGCCATGTGTGAAACAGAAGGTAGAAGTTTAGTGATGACACATCTGCCTTACGATGACACATCAACAGTATCACAACAGGTAAGTCAGGTTAATGAGGACTTGTGTCTAGGGGCCAGGGGACTGCAAGCCATGTGTGAAACAGAAGGTATAAGTTAAGTGATGACACACCTGCCTTACGATGACACATCAACAGTATCACAATAGGTAAGTCAGGTTAATGAGGACTTGTGTCTAGGGGCCAGGGGTCTGCAAGCCATGTGTGAAACAGAAGGTAGAAGTTAATTAGTGATGACACACCTGCCTTATGATGACACATCGTCAGTATCACAACAGGTAAGTCAGATTAATGAGGACTTGTGTCTAGGGGCCAGGGGTCTGCAAGCCATGTGTGAAACAGAAAGCAGAAGTTAAGTGATGACACGCCTGCCTTATGATGACACATCAACAGTATCACAACAGGTAAGTCAGGTTAATGAGGACTTGTTTCTAGGGGCCAGGGGTCTACAAGTCATGTGTGAAACAGAAGACAGAAGTTTAGTGATGACACATATATCTGCCTTATGATGACACATCAACATGTACAGTATCACTACAGGTAAGTCAGGTTAATGAGGACTTGTGTCTAGGGGCCAGGGGTCTGCAAGTCATGTGTGAAACAGAGGGCAGAGGTTTAGTGATGACACACCTGCCTTATGATGACACATCAACAGTATCACAACAGGTAAGTCAGGTTAATGAGGACTTGTGTCTAGGGCCAGGGGTCTGCAAGCCATGTGTGAAACAGAAGGTAGAAGTTTAGTGATGACACACCTGCCTTATGATGACATATCAACAGTATCACAACAGGTAAGTCAGATTAATGAGGACTTGTGTCTAGGGGCCAGGGGTCTACATGTCATGTGTGAAACAGAAGGTAGAAGTTAAGTGATGACACACCTGCCTTATGATGACACATCATCAGTATCACAACAGGTAAGTCAGATTAATGAGGACGTGTCTAGGGGCCAGGGGTCTACATGTCATGTGTGAAACAGAAGGTAGAAGTTTAGTGATGACACACTTGCCTCATGATGACACATCAACAGTATCACAACAGGTAAGTCAGATTAATGAGGACTTGTGTCTAGGGGCCAGGGGTCTACATGTCATGTGTGAAACAGAAGGCAGAAGTTTAGTGATGACACACCTGCCTTATGATGACACATCAACAGTATCACAACAGGTAAGTCAGGTTAATGAGGACGTGTGTCTAGGGGCCAGGGGTCTACAAGTCATTTGTGAAACAGAAGGTAGAAGTTTAGTGATGACACACCTGCCTTATGATGATACATCGTCAGTATCACAACAGGTAAGTCAGGTTAATGAGGACTTGTGTCTAGGGGCCAGGGGTCTACAAGCCATGTTTGAAACAGAAGGTAGAAGTTTAGTGATGACACACCTGCCTTATGATGACACATCAACAGTATCACAACAGGTAAGTCAGATTAATGAGGACTTGTGTCTAAGGGCCAGGGGTCTACAAGCCATGTGTGAAACAGAAGGTAGAAGTTTAGTGATGACACACCTGCCTTATGATGACACATCGTCAGTATCTAGTAATTTTTGGGGCCCTTTATAGCTTGCTGTTCCGTGTGAGCCAAGGCTCTGTGTTGAAGATGTACTTTGACCTATAATGGTTAACTTTTATAAATTTTGACTTGGATGGAGAGTTGTCTCATTGGCACTCTTACCAAATCTTCTTATATCTATATCTTAAACTTTAGAAAAAAAACTTCACAGTAGATGACACATATAATGGCATATCTTAAACTTTAGAAACATTTTTTTTGTTCATATCAAGCACTTGATAAGAGCTATTTTGCACAAGAGAAGTTATTATAATATAATCATATAGCTCCAAAGCAAAACTTCACATTTCATATTAACAGAGAAATGAAAGACAACTCCTGTTAACTATCAATGACTAAAGTTACTTTTGATGAATGTGAATTTCAAAACAATACATTTTACATCATTTAAGAATTGAATGCTTACTTTTGTAATTTTATTGGGGTGTAAAAGCGTTGACAGAAGTACATTTTGTATGAAGCGCGGAAGCACTTCATTCTAAAAATGTGCGCACGGTCAACGCTTTTACAACCCTATGAAATTACAAAAAGAAGCATTCAATACTTATAACTACATTTTATAGCAAGGATCATGAAAACACGATTTGTATCAACTTTTGCTTTAATTTACCTGTGCACTTTATTGTGGGACCTCGTGTCATCATGAATGTTACATTTCATTATGTAAGGAATGTTAATTTCAGAAGGATGCGAGATTGCTGTTAGCCAATCAAAATAACGTATCATAGTGAAACATACATGCAATGTTATTATTTATGGATGCAGACTAGAACAGATGTCACGTGCCACTAATGAATTACAACTTATGTAGATATTGCCATTTCCGCTTGCCTACTGTTTGCAGACAATACTTGCCCCCTTGATTTGAATCTTAGATTTACTTACTTAGATTTGTATTTATTTGTCTTGCAGTTCTTATGGCATCAACAGATTTCCAGAAAACAACAGATATCAAAATCCTGTATATTTTTGGCATTCTTAGGAGATTCAACAGATAAGTAAGTTACAAAAATTACTAAGGATAAGTGTTTATTGCAAATTAAATGAAACAGTATGTTTTTTTTTGACTTGTTACATTTTGGGGACAGGGATTCTAATCCAACAGCAGCATAAATCTTGACCTCATTGTCATGGATCATTGGTAATGTTAAGTTTATGTGAAAAACATTTATCTAAAGATTTTCAAAATTAAATTGAATCATGATCAGTAAAGCAGTCTAGACTTTTACAGCATGTCTACACTCTATTTATATTCTTGTCACATTTTTGTTAAATGAATATCTGAAACTTTGGAATTGGCTATTTTTTTCGGTCAAAAGGAGTAGGGGCAATAAATTGACGAAAATAGTTTTCATATATGTTACTTAATTTGTCCTAACTATACCTAAGTACATTATGTTAAGAAAATAAAAAGAAATTTCACATTTAACAAGTTACCATAGCAACAAACCATGACGAAATTTGTATATTTTGTTTTGTGTCTTGATATTCCTTGCTTTACATATTTACATCAACTTTAGGGTATATTTTGTATTGGGAAAAGTACATGCCCACACCAGAAACAACTTAGTATTTGGTGGGATAATGCAGATAGCTTTAAAAAAAGTCCTCTAAAATTATTTTGTTGTTTCCTGGTTGTGCACGATGTCCACAATGAAAATAGGGATAGAAAACTGCATAAATTCAGCATTAATTTTGTCTTTGTTTTCATCATGAGAAAGATGAATGCTATGAAATAATTGTGATGTCATAACATCAACAATCTTGTGTAATTCGTTTATATTTCTTGACTGTATGCATTTCCAAACATTATATGCAAATTTGAAATGGGTGTCAAAAAAACTTTTATTTTTTTTTGGCCAAAAACAGCCTTAAATGCTCCTTCACTTATACAAATTTTTACACTTTATATATGCAAAAAAATTTTTTTTTGATAAATTTACTTTTAAGTGAAAGTTAGTTGCTAAAATAACATTCTTTGTTAAAACTGTCTTCAACAATGTACAGTTATTGAAGATAAAAGTATATCTAGATTATGATATGAAAAAAATTTAAAAATTTTAAAACATTTTTATGTGAGGTCAGGTTTTGTGCTTTCAGCATAATACTAATATACCCACGATAAAAGTTTCAGTTAAAGAAAATCTCACAAATGTGATTTCCCCTGATTTTACTAATCAAGAGAACAAAATATGATGATTTCTCATCTTTTATATTCCAGATTTACAAGTTTAGAGTATAAGATAGGATATTTAGACAATCCAACAGCCAAGTCAGCAATATTCTGTTTTAGGGATGTCAAAGGGTATGTATCAATACTTTATTCCTAAAAATATAGGTAGATATAAAGTAGAGTTAAGAAATTTTATCATATGTTGCCAGAAGGTCTGGTAACAGCTTGACTCCATCCTTCTTTCTGTCGAACATTCCTTATGTTCAAAACACACAGCAGGTATTAAGATTGTGTTATCTCTAACTCCACAGCTTTTCTTAAAAAATCTAACTTTCTCTATTTTGAATTTTCTTAGGTGTCCCATTTTTTGAACTTTTGTCATTTTTGTCATTGAATGATGTAGTAGGTACCTATTTGATATATAGTTTGTGTCTTCTGTGTCAATTGGGAGAGATTTTCCCTCACCATTATTAAAGAATTGTTATGCAATGCTTGACTTAACACAGTGTTGGTTTTGTTATTTCAATATCTAGCAATTTGTTTATTAATTCTGTGTAAAATGAAGATTGCATGATGAAAAATGAACAGATGTATGTCGATGCTGAAAGCTCACGGTGACATAGTTATTTACATATTATAGGACCAAATCAGGTCACAGTGACTTAGGTATTTAAATCTAATAGGACCAAATCAGGTCACAGTGACTTAGTTATTTGAATATTATAGGACCAAATCAGGTTAAAGTGACTTAGTTATTTAAATATTGTAAGTCCAAATCAGGTTACAGTGAACTAGTTATTTATTACATTACCAAATCAGGTCAATGTGATTTAGGTATTTGAATATAATAGGACCAAATCAGTTCACAGTGACTTAGTTATTTGAATATTATAGGACCAAGTGAGGTTAAATTGACTTAGTTATTTAAATATTATAGGACCATATCAGGTTACAGTGACTTAGTTATTCATTACATTACCAAATCAGGTCAATGTGACTTAGGTATCTGAATAAAATAAGACCAAATCAGGTCACAGTTACTTAGTTATTTACTTATTACAGGATCAAATCAGGTCACAGTGATGCTAAAGACCTAAAAACAAAGATAAGGGAGAAGAAGACTGCTAAGATCATAGATGGGTATACAAGTCCTAGTCGAGGTGTGGAGCAAGCTAGCTCTGAGATAGAAAAAATTCTCTCCACAGTAAGTAGCATTTAAGTATTTGGAGATATATCATTGTGAAAAATAAATAACAAATGCATCTCTATGATTTGTTAATTGTCAATAATCAGTCATGATATGGAGGATATAGAAACTGCAGCTGAACAGTGACTAAAAATCTATTTTTGTTTTGTTTTAAACTTTTGAAATTTTATTCAGAAGAAACGATAAAATGTATAACAAATTCATATTGCTAATACACATTACACATTGAAATTTTTAGGACTAAACTTTCTACTCATGACACTAAAAACATGTAAAAAATACACATTACTACTACACATTTTATTTTCTAAAAAATTTCTACACAACAGATAAAAAACACATTTACAAAATATGCTTTATTTGACAAAAAATGAATTTTTAGGGAAGAATAATTTAGTTTTGGTCTCGAAGAACATTTAAGTGGTTCCTTCATGAGCAGATGTTGTTTGTTGATACAAAATTGTGTGTCCTCACCTTTTTATTTGTAACAATACTAATCTTAGTTCAGGAAAATTCCACATCTCAACTTTGAGATAAGAGGGTCATGCCAACGAGGCAATGCTATCTTAATATCTACACATCTTAACCACCTACTTAATACGTTACATATTGTAATTGATCAATTTTTACAGAATCTTCCTCATTATTAAATTTGTTGTTTAATTTTCTTCTCATGCTCAATATGAATGAAATGTCTGCCTCTAGATGTTTTTCAAACAACAATCAAATATATATATTTTGTGTAATATGTTCTCGTACTTAATATTCATGAAATGTTTCACATGGGACATTAATCAATCATATTTCACAAAGACATTTTTGTGTATCCACACTTGATATTTATTTCAGGAGATTGGCTTGGAATCAAGAGCAGAAGGAGAAGAGGAAGAAAATGAGGATGATGGTCCTGACCAGTTATGTGGCGGCCATGTTTGGGATGTACATAGTGACAATGAACAATTAGAAGCTATCAACCTAGCCAAAAGCTCAAGTTGTGAATTAGGATTTGAAAGGGTATTTGCATAAATTTAAACCAACCTTATTTCGCGACTTACGTGAATAGGAAAATAATACAAATATAAATTGTCGCAAATATTAATAATTTGGGTCTTCTGTTAAGTAAATAGATTGAGCAAACTAGAAAATTGCGTAAAAATTAATTGCCATGAAGTTAACTTTAAAGGGACAAACTCGAAATACAGTATCCGCAAAAATAAAATGGTTAAGGTATATATATTTCTCTAAATCTTAGTCCATTTATCGTTTTCCTGACCTGTTGATTATTATTTTTAATCAATTTTCAGTTTTCAGTTTTTCATTGGTCAAAACTCAATTATGAGTCAATTTTCTTGTTTTCCTCTGAATTTCCTATTATGACTTCATGAAAAAACGTGATCCTGTCTGATGATGTCACATAGAAAGAAAACATCTTTGTGCAGATCATTGGAAAAGGATTATGTTTGACTACATATTGTCTAAAAATCATTAGAGAAACAGATTCCACCTCCTTTTCTACATATCATCTCATTAGAGAAACAGATTGTATAACAATTCCACGTTTTAAATTTGAAAATTGAACTGTCTCAAGTGGAGAAATATTGTGTCACACTTGATGCAGTGGTAGAATCTATTTAAACATGTATATACAGTGAGACTTCTCTAAACCGTCCCTCTGAATACCGGTTCTCCCCTCATACCAGCCAGATCAAAAAGTCCTGGCCGATTTGTATTCAATTAAATGGTCATGTAACTTATAAAACATGCAACCCCTTTTAACCGGATACTGGCCGGTATTTTTGTATTTGGTTAATCAAAATCAATTAAATTTAACCTTATAAAACCGGCCTTGTCATCTTAAATCACCCACTGATCCGTACATATAACTGTTATGCAAACAAAGATAATCCGATCAATCAGGTCACCTGCATGCCAACTGACTACTGTTCACCTGTCAAATTTATCTCAATACCAAAGCTAATTATGTGATGATAAGTGAAAGTAATTACACATGCTATTGCAAAGTTACAATTTAATCATATTACACAATTTTAGTTATGATGATGGAAGTTTTCAACGACCTTGACTGGCTATGCAGCTCTCGCACGGTCGGTTTCAATTTTAATAATTAATAGAACATTTTCCTCAACTATTAAAGAAATACCATTGATGTATGGTAAATTTTATTCATTATTCCTGCAAAATTAAAAAATGAAATAAGGTAAAATAGAAGTTGTAGATGTATTTTAATGATGCATATAATATACACAGAGGAAAACATATATTTTCATTAAAGTAAAATACATTTTTATATTTAACTCAAACACACATATTGAAGGGAAGTAACTCTTGATGATTTCAATTTTCAACAAACCGGCCACCCCCTGAAAACCGGCCGTTTTCCATGGTCCAAAGGGCGGCCGGTTTTGAGAAGTTTCACTGTATTGATAAAAATTAAATACGAAAGTAATCTAAAAACAAAAAGCATTAAATATAAAAAAAGAAGATGTGGTATGATTGCCAATGAGACAACTCTCCACAAGAGACCAAATGACACAGAAATTAACAACTATAGGTCACCATACAGCCTTCAACAATGAGCAAAGCCCATACAGCATAGTCAGCTATAAAAAACCCTAAATGACAAATGTAAAACAATTCAAACGAGAAAACTAACGACCTAATTTATGTACAAAATAATGAACGAAAATCAAATATGTAACACAGCAACAAAGGACAACCACTGAATTACAGGCTTCTGACTTGGGACAGGCACACACGAATGTGGCGGAGTTGAACATGTTAGCGGGTGCCCAACCCTCCCCTAACCTAGGACAGTGGTGTAACAGTACAACATAAGAACAAATTATAAAAATCAGTTGAAAAAGGCTTAACTCATCAGATGGATACAAATAGAAATACATCTAACAAAAACACAGAGTGGATGTGGACGGGTACTTGTACATCCCAACAACAAAAAGACACTTAGTACAGATCTGAGAGTACTCACAGTTACTGACAGCTAGTTCAAAGCCAATAACAACTAATAAAAAAAATCATGCATCTAAGACTAAAGCCATCTTGAGGTAAATTTTTGATCATCAACTAATTTTCCACTATGTCACTAATCAAATCCTCAATTGACAATGGAAAACATTCAAAAACAGTACATTTATGTTTGAAAATAATGAATACTTTGATATTAGGTTCCAAACTTTAATTCTAACTGAAATTTCAATGTTTCTGTATGAATGAACAAAAAGAGATGTTAGGTCTATGTCAATAAGACCCAAAACTAAATACACAAAAACTAAGACATCTACTATAATATTGTATTTATTTTTTTACAGCATTATGAGAGACTGAATGGTCATGTATTATCAGCAGGACCATTACCGCCATTGTTGATTTTAGGCCCACCAGGGTGTGGCAGATCTCTTCTTCTTGCCAAATGGTGAGTACTGGAAAATAGTTTATTTTTTGCAGGTGTAATCTTTTCCAATTTCAAAATAAAAAAACTTCTTTAGTGTTTTTAATTAGGTTTTCTTGTTCCTGACTTTTCAAATTTACTTTAGGAAATATATTTGCTATTTTATCTTTTCACAAAATTAGTGAAAAAAAAATGCCTTGTGAAAATTTCCAACATTACAATAAATGCTGAAACACTTGAAACTTAGTTCATATAACTGGTATACCAACATTTTAACATAAAATTTTTAGGCCAAAGAGGATTTTTTCAAGGAAAAGGATATCTTGTTTAGTTACCATGGTAATTTTATAATTATCCATTTTGTAGGATTCAGTTACAGCAGGAGAAAATACCCAGCAGTCTTCTATTGTATCATTTTGTTGGTAGAGAGTCCACGGTCAGTGCTGATCCTATTATGATGATGAGAAGACTTACTGCTCAGGTAATTTGTTTGTCCTCTATTTTGTGTTCTTTGTTGTCTCTGTTAGCCATCACTCAAGTATAATGCAAAATTTTGTAATGATTTTGAATTCCAAAGCTTAACTGATATTTTTAAGTATTTTATCTTCGATTCTGATGATGAATGAATAGAAATGGCATGTCAACTCCACATGGTGGGAATTCGGGACCATCTAGAAGCTTTACACACTTTGTGCCTACTCCAGTCATTTGACAAGTGAAAATAATTCATTTGAGCCATGTGTACCTTTAACACTTGCTTTTTTGCACTTCTTTTCAGACTTTGCATCTTAAATTATAAAGTATTTATATTTATATATATTGTTTCTGTACATTTTTATGTTCAATGAAGTTTTTATTTCTGTGTATTTTTTCTTCTCAATCAAGTTGATGCAACAGTTGAATTCACCTCCACAATTGACTTCTGATCCTGTCAGAATAGTAGAGGAGTTTCCTCGGTGGTTAGAGAGGATATCATCAAGGACACCAGGTGGAGCCATTGTTGTTCTGGATTCTATTGATCGTTTCCAGGTAAGCAGTTATATTTCTCATCTCCTTTATGCTCATCACTTGTCTGTTTCTAAGGAAATAAAAAAAACAAATAGGGTAAAAGTCGATTGTATGATTAATACAGCATTTGTGATGTGATAGAGTTTTTGGGTAAAATTAAAATAAAACCAAATATGAAATATAATAATCTGCGTAAAACTAAGTGAAAATACCTAATGGGAGATAACTCTAACATATTGCTTGCAATTTCTGTTTTTGTTTCAATATCTGCACACATTTTATGAACACTGAATCATTGCTACTCAATACAAAACTACATCTTTAAACTATGCTGTGGTGTTTTGTCAATTAGGCAGAAACCCAATGACAGAAAGAATTCAAAAAGATTGTCAGAGGTCAACATACAAATTTGCTGTATAAGTTTACTATAGACACTATTATGGTGTGGGGCCTCTGTGGCCAAGTGGTCTAAGTAGTCGAAATACTGTATCACCAGCCTGTCAACAAAGAGGTTGTGAGTTAGAATCCTGCACATGGCAGGTACTCTCAACTTCAATCTTAAATGACTATGATTGTCAGTTTTCCTACTAAAGGTTGGTGATTCTCTACAGGCACTGGGGCTTCCACCAATAAAAACTGACCGCCATGAAAAAGCACATTAGTGCTGAAAGTGGCATTAAACACCAATCAATCAATCTATTATAGTGTGATGCATGGGTTGTGATAGATAACTTATTTAACTGAATGTGGAAGGGTTATACAAAGTAATAAGTATTTAGTAATTACATTAACTTATGTTTACCTTATTTGTATTTTAAGCAAGCAGAGGTGCATTTAAAATGGTTAAAAGATCCATTGCCAGTGGATACAAGAATAATTGTGTCAGCATGTGAAGACACATGTCCCCAGTCATGGAGGTAAGAAAAAAATATTGCTTGTAAAGGTCAACGGTCAAAGTTGTACCATAGGAACAACTGTTTACAGTATACTGTCAATTCAGAAATTTTTGTAATGTTTTTATTATTGCATAAATTGCAACATGATAATTTTCGCAAATTTAAAATTCACAGATGAAATGCTGGTAGCATTATTTTGAATGCACATTTCTTGAAATTGCAATAAGGAATTTGGCATCTGTGTCCATTGTTCAATAATCACAATGATAAATGCACTCAAAAATTTCTAAATTTACAGTATTTGATTGTGGCAGTACTCCACATTTATGAATTAAGATTATTGATTTGTGTATTACCGTTAAAAGGCTTGTATAGTCCGTGGTTTTATTCTCAAAAATTGACCCTGACAGGAGGGGTGCGGACTATAGAGTACAATAAGCAAGATATAAGAGAGAAAATTTCAATTTCGCGATGTGGTTTGATTACGTTCCGCCATGTTTGTTATTGACATTGTAGAGGGCGCTCTTATCATTTTTCAAACTAATAATTTTACCCAATCCATATAAATAAGTTATTTTATTCAATATCAAATTAATACTGATAAATTTAAAAATTAAAAGCTTCATTACAAAATTCTCGTTTCTTTTCAATGCATTGCTAAATATAAACTGGTATCTGCTTGAATGAAATCGTACAAAAAAAGTAAAAGAAGACAACCGTAAACCAGTTTACGATGTGTAAACTACAAAACGTAATCGGTTATTATTCGTTCCGTTTTGGTGTTTCCTATTGATAAATATGTTTTGTATTAGCTTAAGACCCTTCAAACATTAATGTGATAGATATATTAAACACTATTTTACATAAGGAGGGAACTGTTTTACTTTCAAAGTCGTATTATAGTGATATCTATTATGTACAGATTTCGACTCTCACTGGGTTTTTTCATCTTTTACACATGCTTTTCAAACTTCCGGTTTAAACATACACAAGTTTCTAAATTGTTTTTTGTGTGATTTATACTTATTTTAACCAGCGTGAAGTGTTTTAGAACCATTTACAAGCAGTTTCAGTTTCTGTTTGGTGATGGAAAATAGGTTTTTCCAAGAAAATACCGCAAACGACCACACACGATTTAAAATTACCGGCGTTTCATTAGACCTTTTCTAACAGTTACAAAAAGTTTTTTTACCTGAAATTTAGTGGGGAGAAGGGGGTGCAGACTTTGTACCAGTGCGAACTATACAAGCCTGATTACGGTACATGAATATGTATTTATATCATAGTGAATACCTGTAAATGTCAATGAAACTGTTATTTTAGTTTTTGTACAAAATTTCCACAGATTCAGATTTGATTAGATTTATTTCCCTTAATTTAATATAAAATAAAAAAAAGTGTACAATGTATTCTCATGCATATTTGATGATTCTGTAATGGTATTATCACTGGTTGTTATTTAAGTAATTTCAATGCATAAACTTTACACACTTATTAAAACAATAGGTTTGCTTTTCACATCAATATTGTTGCTTTTTACACACTATTCATGTTGGAGATACTTTTAGGTGTTTTTAAAAATACTTGAGAATGAATAAAGTGAAAATAACCCCTACAGGAAAATTTCCACAATTGCAGTATTAAAGTGTCAATGTTTATAAACATTTTTTGTTGTTGAAAATACAACCTTTTTTTCAGGAAGTGTAGTATTTGGTGGACCTAGTGTGTAAATAATGATAAGGAAAAAAAAAAAAAAAAAAACAGCACCTGAACTGCGAACCAAATTTCTAGAAAAAAGCTTGAAAATGTAACATTTTTTTCAATGCCTTTATCAATAGTTGCATTATTTACAGATCATGGCCAACAGTACGGGTTGAACCACTGAGCAACAAGAATGTGAAGGAGTTACTCCATGCTGAGTTAGCGACTCTTGATGCTTCTATAAGTTCAGAAGAGGAAACATCAATACTAACACAATGTAGAACTCCATCCACGTGTTGTTCATTGTATGTAATGGTGCTAGCTAGACATATCTCAGGGTAGGTAATACTGACACAATGTAGAACTCCATCCACGTGTTGTTCATTGTATGTAATGGTGCTAGCTAGACATATCTCAGGGTAGGTAATACTGACACAATGTAGAACTCCATCCACGTGTTGTTCATTGTATGTAATGGTGCTAGCTAGACATATCTCAGGGTAGGTAATACTGACACAATGTAGAACTCCATCCACGTGTTGTTCATTGTATGTAATGGTGCTAGCTAGACATATCTCAGGGTAGGTAATACTGACACAATGTAGAACTCCATCCACGTGTTGTTCATTGTATGTAATGGTGCTAGCTAGACATATCTCAGGGTAGGTAATACTGACACAATGTAGAACTCCATCCACGTGTTGTTCATTGTATGTAATGGTGCTAGCTAGACATATCTCAGGGTAGGTAATACTGACACAATGTAGAACTCTGTCCACATGTTGTTCATTGTATGTAATGGTGCTAGCTAGACATATCTCAGGGTAGGTAATACTGACACAATGTAGAACTCCATCCACGTGTTGTTCATTGTATGTAATGGTGCTAGCTAGACATATCTCAGGGTAGGTAATACTGACACAATGTAGAACTCCATCCACGTGTTGTTCATTGTATGTAATGGTGCTAGCTAGACATATCTCAGGGTAGGTAATACTGACACAATGTAGAACTCCATCCACGTGTTGTTCATTGTATGTAATGGTGCTAGCTAGACATATCTCAGGGTAGGTAATACTGACACAATGTAGAACTCCATCCACGTGTTGTTCATTGTATGTAATGGTGCTAGCTAGACATATCTCAGGGTAGGTAATACTGACACAATGTAGAACTCCATCCACGTGTTGTTCATTGTATGTAATGGTGCTAGCTAGACATATCTCAGGGTAGGTAATACTGACACAATGTAGAACTCCATCCACGTGTTGTTCATTGTATGTAATGGTGCTAGCTAGACATATCTCAGGGTAGGTAATACTGACACAATGTAGAACTCTGTCCACATGTTGTTCATTGTATGTAATGGTGCTAGCTAGACATATCTCAGGGTAGGTAATACTGACACAATGTAGAACTCCATCCACATGTTGTTCACTGTATGTAATGGTGCTGGCTAGACATATCTCAGGGTAGGTAATACTGACACAATGTAGAACTCCATCCACATGTTGTTCACTGTATGTAATGGTGCTATCTAGACATATCTCAAGGTAGGTAATACTGACACAATTTAAAACTTCATCCACGTGTTGTTCACTGTATGTAATGGTGCTAGCTAAGCATATCTCAGGGTAGGTCAGTCTTCACACTTAACCACAGGCCCACCAGCCCAGGCTTGTAAAATGCTTTAGGACCTGTCAAAATCTTCTCTACAGGCCAACAGAATCCAACTAAAATTTTCGTAAAATTGAGCTCTAGGCCTGTGGATTCAAAAGTTTATCTTGGTAAGTTCAGTGCAATGATATCTCATTATACACTTGAGCATACAATTTCCCAATTTGTATATCTGATTTGAATGCATTGTTCAAGACTAATAAACATGTTATTCAGTGGTTGTTGTTTGTTGCCGTGTTACATTTTTGTTTTTCATTCATTATTTTGTACATTAATTAGGCCGCTAGTTTTCTTGTTTGAATTGTTTTACATTTGTCATTTCGTGGCCTTTTATAGCTGACTATGCGGTGTGGGTTTTACTCATTGTTGAAGGCCGTACGCCACTGTCCCAGGTTAGTGGGGGTTGGGATCCCGCTAACATGTTTAACCCCTCCACATTCTGTATGTTTGTGCCTGTCCCAAGTCAGGAGCCTATTATTCAGTGGTTGTCGTTTGTTTATGTGTTACATATTTGTTTTTCGTTCATTTTTTGTACATAAATTAGGCCGTTAGTTTTCTCGTTTGAATTGTTTTACATTGTCATTTCGTGGCCTTTTATAGCTGACTATGCGGTATGGGTTTTACTCATTGTTGAAGGCCGTACAGTGACCTATAGTTGTAAATTTCTGTGCCATTTGGTCTCTTGTGGAGAGTTGTCTCATTGGCAATAATCATACCAAATCTTTTTTATATGAATAATGAACACAGCAAAGATTGTAATGGTCCATCTAAGTCCAAAATTGCAAACCAAACCTGTCGAGAAAAATAACCTGATATGGGGTACAAGGTTGAATTCTATATTTGTAAAAGCTTTTACATGTACTATTACATATTGTTTACAGACTGTCAGTTTATACTGTTCTCTTATTTTTACAGGTACACTAGATTTGATTCTAAACCAGCCAAGCATTTAGAGAATTTATTAACGTGCACAGACTGTGTCAGTTTATATTGTAAAGTTTTAGATGTAATTAGATATTCATTGGAATCTCATGAAAACAGAGGGCATTTAAAAATGGTGAGTTTAATTATCCATAACTCATACAATTGAGAAAATATCCAGAAAGCAATCAAAATCAAAGTCTGAGAAATAAAGACTGTACCATGACACCTTATCAGCGCAAAGAGGTTATATTGTGGCATTTCAATAATGGGATAGATGAAGAGAGGACAACAGCTCTACAATACATCTTAACAAAAAATAACGTTTTATGGTTTCCTTTTTTGGTTTTCAGTGCTTAGCAAGCATTCATATCACGTTAAAAATTACCTAGTCCTGACAAGTTTTCAATTACAGAGAATTGTTCAGCCTTAAAGAAAAGAAAAGATATGTGATAGTTTCAAATGCAATTTGTCTGGTGAAACTTTCATGGCAATTGTTTGAATTAAATATATTTGCTTACTTGAAGTATAGTCCGCAGATATGACTAGATAATTGTTCAGTTGTTGGCCAAAAGTAGCCATAAAAAAGTAGTAGAACAGAATTGCCTGAAAATACCTATTCATATTCATCAGACATGTCAGAATCATTAAAATGTACATATCTGTTATAGAAACGAAATATATCCAATGAGGAAAAAATAAATAGCACAAATGTACCATAGGATTATTATAAAAAGAACAAATACTGTTAATTTAGAAACTTCTGCATGCATTTTTTTTGTGACTGTTGGACAATGGTTAAAAATTGCATGATTTGTTGTTACGATTTCAGGATATGGTGCATACAAATAATGCTATCAAAATTTGAATTTGAGTCATTATTTTTGGGGAACATTTCCCACTGCATCCAAACATGTAATAAATATTTATACTGCAGCTAGAACACTTCCTGTTGGCTTTATCTACCAAATATAGTAACAAAGAGATATTTCGTGCAATGTCAATTTTAAGTGGCATCACTCTTAGAACTACACAATCTGGGGTTCGTTTAGGGATGATAAATAAGTTTTATTTTTGTGTTAAAATTTTCATAATTATGAAAGAGTATTTTTAGCTGCAGTATCAAAACAATACTAGGTAAATGTCAGAAAAATATAATTTTTTTTGTATTGTGCACGAAACTGTTGAAGTCTCAGTAAATCCCAACTTTCTAAGCCTCATATACATAATATTGTATACATAACAGAAATTTCTTGATTTACAGTATCCTGTATTCCAAAAAAAATTATAAACTTTGACCCAGACTAGATATGGTTCATCCAAATGTATTAAGACATTTACTCTATTTCAGATATTAAGATTTATATATGTGAGTCGCTGTGGTTTAAGAGAGAGTGAGCTGCTTGATCTGATGCCAAATTTGTCATCCAATTTCTTAACATTGTTCACAGAAATTCTCTTTCATCATCTTATAATAAAGTACCAAGGAGGACTACTCATGTTTGCACATCAGCAGGTAAACCATTTATTATACCTCTAAATTCATTTTAAGTAACATATTTTCACTTACTATGCTACATCAAAGTTATTTATATCTTCAGATTTCTATCTCCTTCTGATTTCTGTTTCCATATCATGTCTTTGAACTTAGTTTCGTATTAAAATTTTCATCCTTAAACTTTTCTTTCAAATTCTTATCAGTTTTGTGTTAAAGTCATCAAATTTGAAAATAGACATATTTCCTGCCTTTATTTCTGATAGGAAATTTAACTTTGATTTTATATGTGTTAGTATTTTCTGCTGGTATAGGATTATTGCATGTAATACTGTAAATTCATAAATTATTGCGTGCATTTATTATTGCGATTTTTAAAGATTGAACAAGAATGCGAGTTTAATTATTGCGGATTTAGGAAAAGCTACAAACAGATACATATATTTAATGTTTGAATGCGAATTCTTATTATTGCGATACTCAAGAAGTCGCATTATTCGCATTAATAAAAACCTCGCAATAATTTCTGAATTTACAGTATACAATATATTTCATACATAACCTTACCAAAAGCTGGTGTGCAATAATATATCATATGATACATGAAATAAGACTTGTTGGTGATGCCAAAATCGTGATGGAAAAGGTCAGGTAGGAATTGCTGTATAAGGATGTTCGCTCCTCTTGTTTTTGAATTTTTTCCTGATATTTGGAATCCTCTGGTTTTATTCATGTAGTACCATTAAAAATGTTTGCCCACTAACCCCTACTTTTCTTTCCATAATTTGATTACATATAGTTTAAAATGCCATCTTTGAAAATCTTATTAAATCCTTGTTATTTTTTCATAGTTTTTGACAGAAAAAAGATGCCAATATAAAATGTATGAAAAATCTAGAGAGAATTATTTCCCGCCAATTTTTCAATGGCTTATATCTGGAAAACAAGCTCACAGACACTTCATTTTTTTCTGCTTTTATAGTTCCTTTATTTATATACTATCAATTTAAAACAGTCTTTTAAAAAGCTTGTTATTTTGAAACAGAGTAGCGAACATCCTTAAAAAAAATACATTTACAGATGTAGCCATTAAAAATTAATTTCTGAAACATATATTTTCAATGATATTTTTTTTTTCAGGTTGAAAAGGCAGCATTTGAGTATTGTTTTGGTAAAGAGGAGGCCAAGCTTATCCCACAATATAGACAAAATTTAATTCAGTATTTTTCAAATTCCTTAAGGTGAGTATAAAGAAAACATGTGAATATGTACATAATATATGTATGTTGTAAGAAAATGCAGAATTTATTTGCACCTGCTTTATGAATAATAATAAAAGAGACTCGCCAAGTTTTTAGAATTGAAAATAGATTAAGATAGCACAGTCTTTCTATAGTTTTTGCTCCTCATATAACAAAATCTTTCATTTTCTTTCTTTTCATTATCTTATTTTAAAATTGAAAAACTTTCAATTGGTTGACCGTTATGGAATATCTGTTTCACAGGTTACAAAGGATATGTTCCAATTGTTGTAAGCACAATTCTGTCCTCTTTTCTATGAATGTGACCTACCCAATAAGACTTATTACCGAATTTATGTGTCACATGTGAAGTAGGATCTACTTACCCTTCTGGAGCACCTGAGATCTCCATGTCTCTCACTTAAGTTTTCTATGCTGTGTTTTATATACTGTTGTCTGTCTTTTTGTCCTTTTCTATTTTTACCATGGTGTTGTCATTTTAATTTTGACTTGAATGCCCCTTTGTATCTTTTGCCTCTCTTTTACAATCATCCATGAAAAAATAATTATAAAATTCATTGTAGTCCAGGGAAGACATCATGTAGAGTTTCTGATGAGTTGCCATGGTTACTTAGACAGTCACAAGAAAAAGAAGAATTACAGCAATGTTTACTGAATTTATGTGTTTTCCAAAGGTTATATTCCAGGTATGTATTAAAATACAGTAGGTAAGGGTTGCCATGGTTACTTGCACTAACCTCAAGAAGAAGAAGCATTTTGGCAACGTTTTTTTTACCTTGTATTATAGTGTAGATATATATATATATATATATATATATATATATATATATACAATATTTTTATAGAGTAGGAAAATATGAAACTTATGTACATGCTTAAAAAACAGAACACTGTACACTGTACAAATATTATTTTTATAAGTTTATTTTTCAATTAAACATTGATCTAAAACATGTGGTTATTTTACTTCCCAGCTGTTGAATTTGTGTTTCTATTAAATCTACATTACTTAAAAATGTTCCTCTGTTTCAAGATAACAAGCTTTTTTAAAAGACTGTCCCAAATTTATTTTGTATATAAATTACGGAACTTGAAAATGAGATTTTCATAAACTATTGTAATAAAATTATAAAAGAAATGTAGGGGTTAGCAGGCAAATTATTCATCCGCATTATGTTTTCTGTTCAACTGTAAACCTATAGTAGAAACGTCGATTGCAGGATAAAAAATTTAACACAACACATTTTAATCATAAGAATGACATCAAATTTCTACCAAACAAAAAAAGAAATGTGAGATGGTTTTATAAATACCATGTGGACGAAGAGTGAAAAAAGGATATTTCCAAATTATTTTTGATAAAAAATGTGTTGCATGTTTTATTATTCTGATTAATAGAAAAAGATGGAAAATATTGAGCGGACATATTGATTATCATACAGCATTTTTTCTTCTCATAAATAAAACATAATTTTTCATTAGTTTGAGTCCAGAAAATATTTTCATGTGATAAAAGAAGTTTCATTTTTACAGAGGCAGATGTCCTGAGATATTATCTTATTGGCAGTTTGTAGCAGCAGATAAAAACACCATGGCACAACTTTACTTCAACGCTACGAGGAAAATGGAGGAAAGTAAGTTCCTGTTGATATTTGTTTCAACTAATGTGGATTCACTTCTAAATTGATACAAACTTTATTTGGAAAAACTACAGAACATCACGACACAGACCGTTCTATAAATAACTTTTTATTTTTGTTTTCAATTTCTATTTCTCCTTTCATTTCTATTTATATAATTATTAAACCACATCCCCCTTAAGTAACTTTCGAAGTCCACACAGACTGTATATATTTTTTCTGATGGCATCTGTCCTAATTTATATATATAATGACACCACTCATGTGGTGAAATATGTAGACAAATAATCTTATATTCATGTGGTATCACATGGGTGTTGTTGTGTTTGATTTCTATAATGTGGATTCAGTTAATTTGGTGTATTGTGGAAAAATTCTATTTTTTCGTGGATATTTGTTTTCATGGTTTTGCTAAATTACTGCATATAAGCCTATAGAAAATTTGTACTTTGTTTAACATTTAAAGGAGTAGGCCCAGTAAGACCCCTTTTTGACCCCAAAATATAGCATTTTTACAAATTTGTTAAAATGTAAACTTTTAGCTATTTATTGCATTGGAAAGAAGAATACTTCGGTTCCATAAATATGGGCTGTTTTTGACAATACAATGCACATGCATCAGGAAATAACATCATACATTCATGCAATATTACTGAAATCTTCACAATTTTAGCATTTGTGCTAATTTTAATGCGGTTTTTGTCTAAAATGGAAGTGGTTGCATTTGTGTTCAGTCTTAATATTTAAATATATGTTGTATTTGATGATAATACATAACATATAAAGGTTGAGACTGAACACGAATGCGGCCATTTTCATTTTAGACAAAAACCATCTGAAAAGTGATATTTTATGGCATATTTGATAGATTTTTCATATTCAAGCTTGAATTTGAGCCTCTTTGATGAGCAAATCAGTTAAAATCTTTAACATAAACTAATTGAATCGACTGAAGAAGACACTTAATTGTATAAAAAATGTCAAAAATCTTTCATCAGATGTACATCGAATATAAATCCACAAACAGTGGTATCCTTCAAATAATAATGAAGCCACAGTATTTCAGAAGCTATTTTTCATACTTAGATTTGAAAAAGAGTTATCAAAATTGTTTTTACAATGCAACCAAAGAATATTAGGAAAACATATGTAAAAGAGAGGCAAAAGATACCAAAGGGACATTCAAACTCATAAGTCGAAAATAAACTGACAACGCCATGGCTAATAAATAAACAAAACACAACATAGAAAACTAAGAACTAAGCAACGCAAACCCCACCAAAAACTGGGGGTGATCTGAGGTGCTCCAGAAGAGTAAGTAATTAAAATATTAATTCATAATTCTTTTGCAGTGGTTGGCCAGTATGGTGGACTGATTACCTTAGAGAGAATAGCAGACCTTTATGATTCATTAGGGCATTTCTTAAAAGATCTAGGTCAACTCAACCAGGTAAATATTTTTAAGTCTGGGCCCAGAATTAAATTTGTATTCTTTAGATGTAGGTCAAATCAACCTAGTAAATTATTTTATATAGGTCAGCTCAAACAAATAATAATTATTAAATGGCCACTATGAAAGTAGGGAGTAAACTGGTTTTACTCCTGTCTTTCCATCCTTCTGTCTGTTAGCCCATGTTTCTACCCATCTCATTTTTATCAAGAACTACAAATCACAGCTTCCTGAAATTTGGTGCCCTATAATTGCTAACTATTACATCATGTGGTCTCTGTTGGATAGTTGTCTCATTAGCAATTTTACCATTATTATATTTCAGTGGGATGCATTTTCATATTCAATACTCTTCAACTTTCTCTTTACCAAATACTTATATTTTCTTAAGACCTATTTCTACTCAAATTTCTTTGATGTGCATGTAGAAAAGGCAAGGTTGTTTAGTAAATACCACCCCCAGTATTTACCACTGGTATTAACTGCCCCCGTCAATACTCTTCAAGTAGGCAATACTGGCAAATACTGGTCCATTGAAATTTTCATGGTTTTTTTGACAGAATTAACTTTCAATTTTAATCTATTATTTTATTTTTTAAGTTATTTAAGTTTATTAAGTTTTTTCTTATTTTTTCAGGCTGTATCAGCTTTGCAGAAGGCTCTTGAAATAAGAGAGACAACTCTTCACCCAGATCATCCAATAGTTGCTAGGACACACCATATACTAGCAGGACTTTATGCACAATGGGGTAAATTCTCCACTGCTGAGGACTTTTATAAACAAGCTCTGGCTCTGTATGAGAATGAGTATGGCATGGATCATCCTCTGGTTGCAACAGAACTGGAGGCTCTAGCTCAGTTATATCAGAGACAAGACAGGTAAAAGTTACCATTTAATTCCTAATCTAAATTCAAGAGCTGGATTGGGATCAGGTACTACAAATAAAATGAAGGCCGCCGTTATCTCCTGCTATTTCTGTAGATTCAAAATTATTAATGGAGTACTAATTCAGATGGTTTCATGGTATCTGCAAATTAAAGGTTTCCTCAAAACTGACTTTGTTGCAGAATTAGTTAAAAACTTGAAGTCAAGTATCAGTGAAAACAAAATTTTTCTCAATCCAAAAAAATTTGGTACCCATGAGTTCACAGTTTTGTAGAAAAAAAAACCTCTTGATTTTATTATACCCCCGCTTTAAAAAAGTGGGGGTATACTGTTTTACCTCTGTCTGTCTATCCATACGTCCGTCCATCCGTCAGTCCGTCCGTCCCATGAATATTTTTCGTCGCATCTTTCTCAGGAACTACATTACACGGATTTCTGAAATTTGGTTTCAGGGTTTATATAAGTCAGCTATACCGTGTGATACGTTTTCTGATTCATCACTCAACAACAAATGCATATTTGGGCTGGGGTATCATCAGTGAGCAGTAGCTCGCAGTTTCACTTGTTCTTAAACTGTATCAAAATGCAGAAACTATTGTATATTATGCAATTACTGAACAATTATTGCGTGATATATAACAATTTTTGCATTCTAGTGAACAAAAAACAAAATTTATCTTAACACTGAGAATTCAATTGTTCTACTTAATGTAGTATGTATCCGGTTCCATTTTGGCTGTAATAAAAAAATAAAAGAATTATAATTATACATTATATCAAGTATTTTGCAATGCACTCATTTCTGGTTATACAGTAATATTATTGTAGATAACGTTAATGTGACCATTTATGACATATAGAATTCCTTGTATATTTATTATTTTCAGTCCAGCAAAAATCATAGGATTTATTGATAAAACAGTTCCAGAATTTTAATACCATTTGTAAAATGTGCCAAACAAGAAACAATTTCAAGTTATTGTATTATTATTGTATTTTCAGGCATGACCAAGCTGATCCTCTTAAGAAAAGATCTGTGAATATCAGAAAGAAACAAAAATCTCCTAAAGTCACACCTATGGTAAATATTTTTAAAAAGTTTTTTTTTTTAAGGAAAAATGCAATATATGGATGGAATCAATCCACGAGAAAAAAGGAATCAATCCACATGTCGAAAAACCGTAGGACATTTTGAGAGGCTTAAATGAAAGGAATAAGTAATTTAATAGATTTAAAACAAATGAACAATTTCTTGTCCGCTGGAAAATGTCGAACATAAAAAGAATTGTTTATTATACAACCAGTATTATTCTGTATTTTTGTATTTCTTGCTTTTTGTTGTATAAAACATAGGAAACCCAACCTGTAAATGGGTATAAATTTACACTGAAATTAAGTTTTTTTTATCATGTAATTTTTATCTGTTATCTTCATTCTGTAAATTTCAGCAAACCCAAGCTAAAACTGTCGTACAGAGAAGAGCTCTACAGCTAGAGGAGTTAGCTCTAGGACCGGACTCGCCTGATAATGCCAGAATACTCAATGAACTTGGTGTCTTATATTATCTACAGAATGACTTTGAGTAAGTTTTGTGTTTATTCTGTCTGCATCATATGCATTATAGTATAAATACCAGTGACAGATCAGATGGCAAGTCCAACTAGATTTAAGGATAGATTTATTATTAATAGAAATATTAAATTCAAAACCTTTACTTATTTTTCCATTTAAAAGTGGGTTTAAATGTAATGAAGAAAAAAGAAGAAATGATGTGTCTAATTTAATGAATAGTTTTATAGGTTCTGGATGGGGGGGGGGGGGGGGGGGGGGTTCCTTCATTTCTGTATTCTTTATATTTTTAGGCCATTTTTCTCAATTATTTATACTTTTTGTCCATTATATTCTCTATTCTTTATATTTTAGCACCTCATTATTCTTTATTCTTTATTGTTTTGGTTCATTATTCTTCTGTAAACCCCCATCCACACCCTCCTACATGTACAATGAACCGCCTATGCTCACCCACACTAGGGACTACTGTGGATTCATGTATTTTTGTGGATACCAATTTTGATAGATTGAGGAATAATTGTATTTTCATGGATATTTGATTTCATGGTTAAGGTGACAAGTACGTAAATGGATGATCCAGAGAAATTTTATAAAATTTTGCATATAGCTAGAGCATGAGGAATGCACATGAACATCGAAACAATTATATATATAACTTTTAAACTTTCTGAGCTATAGCAAATTAAATATCAGGAAAATGATAGATCAGATATATAAAACACAAGTAAATATGGAAAAAAGTTCAGCAATTTTGACTTAAAATTAACATTTCTCCAAATCCTGTCATACGAATTTTCTTTAAAAATTATATGTTATTGTTTCTGAAATTTATATTATCAATAAAACTGAATTTTAGTGGCAATATCATAACAATTTTAAAGAAAATTTGTAGGTCACATTTTTGAGAAAAAGCAATTTAAATTCAAAATCTTCAATTTTTTTGGGATATTTACGTACATTCTATACATTTGTACTTCTTGCTATAAAATATTCAATTTGCTATATATCCGAAAGTATAAAAATTACAAAAACCAAATCCATGTAAATTAGTATTCCATGAATAATAATGAAGCAACAGTATAAGTAATGGGAAAATCCACATACTGCAAATTCAGAAATTATTGCGTGCATTTATTATTGCGATTTTGTCATTTTAAACCAAAATGAGATTATTATTTTTGCGATACTAAGAAAAATTCCGCTTCATTCATATAAAAAAAAATCCAAAACGCAAGTTTAAATTATTGCGATTACAACTCTTTCGCATTTTTCGCAATAATTTCTGAATTTACAGTAAAAAAAAATTGAGAATGGAAATGGGAAATATGTCAAAGAGACAACAACCCGACCAAAGAGCAGACAAAAGCCGAAGGCCACCAATGGGTCTCCAATATAGCGAGAAAATCCCGCACGGGGAGGTGGTCCTCAGCTGGCCCTCAAACAAAATCGTGCACTAGCTCAGTGAAAATGGACGTCATAAGTGTACTAAGTTCCCTAAAGAAAAAAAAAATTAACAAAATAAAGCCACTGATTAGGTTGGTAGGGGTTTCAAGTAATTGTTTTTCAGGTGTGTTTCAGCTTATGTTACTAGAGCACACCTGCACAGTTGCTAAATATTTAGCTATCATACATGCCAACTAAATCTCCATGGGGGATTTTAAGCGCAAGAGGACTTAATGCTCCTCTAATATTGTCATAAGTGTTCTTAATCTACTTCTATATTTTTTGAATGTGTATATTATATATGTGCTTAAATACCCTTTTAACTCATTTGAATGCCTGTTTTGAGGTCTTCAGTTTATATAATAAAGAATTTCAAAATTCAGGTCAACAACTCTCATGAGGGATATCTCCCATAAATAGGGATAGTTGGCAGGTCTGAGCTATGCCGTATGGTATTGAAAAAGTTTTGCATAACAATGGAATGTTTTAAAAATTTAATTCCTTGTTGTTTTTCTATACAGAACTGCTGAATCATTTTTCAAGAGAGCTTTGGAGATGAGAGAGAGCACGTTGGGACCAGATCATTTAGATTTGGCTCAATCTCTGAATAATCTAGCTGCTTTATATAATGACAGGAAACAGTTCAATAAGGCAGAGCCTCTGTATGAAAGGGCTCTAGATATCAAAACTAAGGTAGGTAACAGAGAGAACGAACTAGCTACTTCATACAATGACAGGAAACAGTTCAATAAGGCAGAGCCTCTGTATGAACGGGCTCTAGATATCAAAACTAAGGTAGGTAACAGAGAGAACGAACTAGCTACTTCATACAATGACAGGAAACAGTTCAATAAGGCAGAGCCTCTGTATGAACGGGCTCTAGATATCAAAACTAAGATAGGTAACAGAGAGAACGAACTAGCTTCTTCTTGAAATGACAGGGAACAGTTCAATAAGGCAGAGCCTCTGTATGAATGGGCTCTAGATATCAAAACTAAGATAAGTAAAAAAAATCAAAAATAGAATAGAAAAACAAAGGATATGGGGTATCTATCCATGACACAAAATCAGTACATGCACAGCAAAAAAACTCACAAAAAGCAAAGTAACAGAGCTTTTATTGTTGTTCTTCATCTGAAATATATCAAACAGCAAACAATTGTTTTTTATCACCAACCATGAGAAATCAATGTCAGAATGCACATAAAAATCAAAAACACCAAAATGGCAAAATTTGATGTAGGGCACCACTAGTTCTAATCAGAAATAAATTTGTTGAAGGCATAGATTGTGTTTCAAATTAGTTTCAATATTTGTATTTTAAGGAGAATAGAATGTTTAAAAATTTTCTGACTACACAAGCAGCGATGTTACAAGGAACATCAATTAACCGATACAGATTAACTATGCCACTCTAGCAAATGCAGGTTTACATATTTAGACATTCACAGGTTTTATAGATATTTTAAACCAGTCACATTTCTCCCAGGTTTTATAGAGATTTTAAACCAGTCATATTTCTCACAGGTTTTATAGATATTTTAAACCAGTCATATTTCTCACAGGTTTTATAGAGATTTTAAACTAGTCTTATTTCTCACAGGTTTTATAGAAATTTTAAACCAGTCATATTTCTCACAGGTTTTATAGAGATTTTAAACCAGTCATATTTCTCACAGGTTTTATAGAGATTTTAAACCAGTCATATTTCTCACAAGTTAATTATCGTCCACCTGATACAAATGCTGTTTTTTTTTTTTTTTTTTGTAGCTTGAAGCTTGCTTCCAAATTCTACATAGGACTCTTATATTTTTCTGTGATTATCTTTTTATAACACCAATAAACATATCATCATTTCTTTGTTCTGTAGTAGTTTTATTTTCTATTTTTAGTATTTAAGCACCAACCATGAGAGTGTAGCCTCCATTATCAACCATTTAGCTATGCTGTATAGAAAACAGGTAAGCATTTAAAATTATAAGGAAATCAAGTCGAAAAGGTGAATTTTGTAATAGGTAACATTTATTTTTTGCATTATCACTAGCCTGTCAACACTGAGGTTGTGAGTTCGACACCCCCCCCCCCCCCCCACGAGGCAGGTGCGTTCTACTCTAATCTTAATTGACTAGGTTTGTCAATTTTTTAACCCCAATGATTCAGTCCCTCCCTGTAGTCGATCTCTTCTACTTGCGAGGGCCTGAATTCCTAACACGATAAAAACTCTTCACGAATCCTGGATTGTGATTGGTGCCCTGTAGAAGAGGTGACCAATCAGCAATCATCTCAAATTTATCGAGATAGGTAAATCCCGAGCTAATTCCGAATGATTGTTTGAAGATTTTTCATTGTCTATGTATTGAGGCGTTAATGGAGTAATTGTAGATCAGCGGAATATAACGACTGAATTATTCGGGTTATCAATTATCCTGCTGCAGGTTGTTATTCTCCCCAGGCACTCCTTCTTCCTCTTCCAGTAAAAATTGACCGCCACCATATAGATGATAATGCTGAAATTTGCATATCCATTTAACACTAACAATTAATCAATCGATTTATTTATTTTCGCAAGTAGCAAAGTTATGTAGAATAATAATTGTTTATCATTAGAACTGTAATCATACATACTAAAACTTTCCAACCACAATAAAAATAGCTAGAAGGAACCACATATGACAAAAAAAAAAAAAAAAAACAGGGCAAAATCTGCAAGCTTTTTCAGAACTAAAAATTAGTTAATACCTGTATATAAAAACAAAAACAAAAACAACAAGATAAGTTATGATTGCCAATGAGACCTATGTAAACCAGAAACAAAATGGTGTATTATGTTTTTTTGCAGTTTTTTTTACCATGTTACATTTAATGCTTGAGTCTGTGTCCACTCAACTCTTAGAAACTTCAATTTTGTGTTATTATTTATAACAATATTTCTGAACTCTTCCAAATGCTAACTTTAAAAAGTAAAATAACAAAAATACCGAACTCCAAGGAAAGTTCAAAATGGAAAGTCCCTTACCAAATTAAATGACAAACACATCGAACGAATGGATAACAACTGTCATATTCCTGACTTGGCACAGGCATTTCCTTATGTAGAAAATGGTGGATTAAAATGTGTCTATGATAAGAAATATATTTGCAGAATGTCAAATTGTGAAAAAAAATTTGTAGTTTTTATTTTAATTGTAATTTTAGAAGTTATACCCATTCCTTTGGTCAAAAGCAAATAATAATTTGAAATTGTGATTGCCTAAATATTTTGCAATGAAAGTTTTTCATGTTTACAGCAGGACAAACTTGTAGAAAATAAATTTTATATAAATGATACTTGGTATTAATTGTAGGGTAAATTTGATAAGGCTTTACCATTATACAAACAAGCTGTAGAAATCAGGGAGAAAACATTTGGATCATATCATCCCTCTGTAGCAACGGCATTAGTGAACCTAGCTGTATTATATTCTCAACAGGTTGGTAGTTTGCATTAATATAGTATATCTCTGATAAATATACACTGTATAGGCCTTTAACAATTGTAACTGTCATTGAAAATTATCCCATAGGTATAAAACCACTAATTCATAGCCCCATTGCTTTCTATGTTAAATTCTGCAATTTCAAGCATTAATGGCTACTTTGTCCTAAGTTCAAATAAAGTGGCAGTCATTTCATGTCAAAACTATACCTTATCCTAACTTATGCTGAAAAATTCAACATACCTTTAACTGCATTATTAGAGCGTACTGGTTCCCCGAAGTTTGATAGTACAAAAACAGGTACTTCTGATGTGAACAACAGGGAAAATGTGCCCTCCTATTATAATTTTATATTCTTCTTTATTATTCAAAATGAACTTTCAACAAGAGTTCTACAGTGATCCCAAGTCCCCAAGCTTTCATTTAAATACCAAAGCTACCCAAATATTTCACCTATTGACAAAGATACAGCTATGCATAGGAACTATTTTGTTTGACTTATGTACTACTTTCTTGTATGTTCTTTCCAACCGGGCCTGAATTAGTGGTTCTATAGCTTTAGGAGAAAAGCTTTATTTTCTAATTTGTAAACGCAAGGGAATGTAAATCATTTATCAATATAATACAACAACAAAAAAGCCATGTGCACTTTTATTCAAATAGATAATACATGTATTTCATTTTAACTCAACAAAATTTTTTTTTGTCCAAAATCAACACTTTGATATAGGCAACCCGTCTTGCACATTTAATCTGTAAATTAATTTTTAAAAAAAGCAATAAAAATCCACCCGTATTCATTTAGATATCAAATCAAACAGACCTATCTATAAATACCATGAAGAGGATCATAATAACACAACCAAGTAATTGATAACCCAACTGTTTCTCAATATGTTTTTTAAGCTTTATGCATAATGATATTTGATACATTTCTGACAAAACCATTTTCACATTCTTGTTAATTTTACTACATTTTCATTTAGTTTTATATTCTTTCTTACCATACATTTGGTATGAAAAATCTTGAGACACATTTCTGGTCAAAATTTTTGAAAATCTTGTGTCATAAATAAGCACACAGACTGATCTATTTATTGCCATGATTTTATTGTTTTTGTAAATTTTGTTATTTTGAATATGACCAGGGAATGTCGTAAGTAGATACAAGTGATTATACCCCCGCTTTAAAAAAGTGGGGTATACTGTTTTACCTCTGTCTGTCCATCCGCCCGTCCCATGAATATTTTTCGTCGCATCTTTCTCAGGAACTACATCATAAGGATTTCTGAAATTTGGTTTCAGGGTTTATATGAGTCAGCTATACTGTGTGATGCGTTTTCAGATTCATCACTCAACAACAAATGCATATTTGGGCGGGGATATCATCAATGAGCAGTAGATCACAGTTTCACTTGTTTTATCTTAATATCTTACCTCCTATACACTTTTAAGAATATCATTGGTTAAAAGCAAACACATGGGAGCCGTGTATATTTAATATTAATATTAGGTCAGTGGGCTAGTTTTACTTTAAATACATGGTCAGTGGGCGTAGTTAGTAGTAGAGTTGCATTACTTTTATAAAAACAACACGGTGTTGTTCTTAATAAACATACATTATAATAATACATATAGAATACTGTGGATTCATTTATTTTTGTGGGTATCAATTTTCGTGGGTTTAAGAAAACTTACATGTTCGTGGATATTTAATTTCGTGGTTTTGCCGAAGTCTGCATACAAGCCTATAGAAAAGTTGTTATTCGTTGAACATTTAATTTCGTGGTTCACCTGTAACCATGAAATCCAGGAAAAATGGTATCCAACAAATAATAATGAATCCACAATAACAATACATTGTCTCGAAATATAAATTTTATTTGTACAAGGGTTAGAAACAGGTAGAAAGCAAGGCTTTGCTTAGCGTTTCTATCCTGTTTTGAGCCGAGTACAAATAAAATTTATATTTCAAGACAACGTATGGTTATTCTTTATATACTGCAACTCCTACAACTGTTCTAAATGAAATATTTAGGGTAAAAACCATCATTTTTTAATTTGTAGCGAACAACGTAAAAATTCTGTGAACCTGTACTTTTAATGACATCATAAATAAAACTCTACGGAAACGCATTGTCAACATCATAAACGAGGTGATATACCGTCAGTGACTGTATATCACAAATGATTATACGGTCAATGTAATTTGACTGCACAAATAGCACAGCTGCAGTATATATAATTATATTTGTTCATGCTTTTAGACAAAAACATGTCTTAGAGACGCTGACATTCTCACTGTCAATAATCGAATGTTCTGTTTAATGCTGTGTTAGAATTGTTATATCAAGATTTATAACTATGTCCTAATTCCCTATATTAAAATATGATGAATTTGCTGACCCCGTATATATCGTATTAGGTCACTAGCACAATGTAACTAATAATGTTTTTATTTTGTAGAACAAATATGCAGAAGCAGAGCCAATGTATGATAGAGCGTTGAAGATTTACGATGAAAGTCTGGGTCCTCAGCATCCTCGTGTGGCAGAAACACTACGCAATCTGGCTGTCATGAAATACGAAATGGTACATTATAGATTTAGCTTAGATAATTGTTTCAAACTAAACCAACTATTTTAAAATTTGAAGACCAACTTGACAGGCACCCAAACACCACAAATAAGACAAGGAAATAAAATCATAGATACTAGGTTTAAAATTTACCAAAGGCTCATCAGTGACGCTCGAATCAACAAAGTTTAAAATGCCGTATAGAGCATGAAGTTAAAGAGCATCTAGGACCCAAAACTCTATAAGGTTTTTCCAAATACATCTGAAGTAATCTATTCCTCGGGGTAGAAAATCCTAAGTATTTCCAAAAATAGGAAGTATTGTCATTCCCTCCTACAATAGTGTTTTTTAATTAAAATATTTTTACACATATAAGATATCTTAAAATCAGGTAGAAAAAATAAAGAAAAACAGGAAAACAAAAAAGAAAAGAAAAGAAAGATATATTTAAAGCAACTTAAAAACTATTAATGATTTTATGATAATACTTGTCACACTTTAAACTATTTCGTAGCTTCATTAATTTTGTACAAGATAAAACACATTTCTTTCTAGATTTTATTGAAAGATAAACTCATCAGAGATACTAGGCTTAAAATTTTGTTTGCCAAATGCAGATTTCGTCTACAAAAGACTCATCAGTGTCGCTCCAATAAAAAAAGTTAAAAAGGCCAAATATAGTACGAAGTTGAGCAGTAAATTGATGTGTAAGCGTTACCAATTCACTCACTTATTTAGACTTGTATTCAATTTGTCTTTTTTACACATCAAGAAACTCCAGAAAAAATACTTTTACTCCTATACTGTAAACCAACTACCGTTAAATTCGTTAAATAAGCCGCAGGTTTTTTTCTCTGTCATTGTCCCTGCGTTTTATACTCAGGTGCGCTTTATGTATGTATTTTTTTCAGTTTCAGGGCAAGCGTGAAAAAAAATATATCTGGATTTTTTTTTTATGGAGACCGTCAGATTGTCAAGTGCTTGCAGTGACTTGATAAATTGTTCATGTGGCATATTTTGTTATGAATAAAAATATATATACTTTATCATTTGTTCTTTATTTCATTGTTGGCTTACAAGTTGATAACCATGTGTTTATTACATAAACAAAGAAAGATAACTGTGTTTGAAAGAGGTACCATACAGGATATTAATTGTGTATTTACAATAAATATGTAATTGTTTGTTGTTGTAATGTGTTTTTAAATAAAAATCTCCTTTAGAAATAATAAAGGAAGTGATTGTGTTTCTTTCCAATATTTCAAGTCTCTTTTAATGACGATGGTGATAACCATGCGCTGAAATGAACCCTTTAAAGTGTTTCATAAACAAAGAAAGATAAGCGTGTTTGAAAAGAGGTACCATACAGGATATACTATTGAGGAGTAACTGCTTGTTGTTTTGTCGTTTCAAAATGAAATATCTTTATGAAATATTGTAGCCACATATTGGTGTAAGAAATAAAAAAAATGAATATTAATTTTCATAATTCAATATGCTAAGACATTTATATATCGCCGTCTTATTTGAATTCCCCTTTCCGTGGCCCATCTCACTTTCAGTTAAAAATAGACAATGACTTGCAGAAACTGAATGGTTTTGTTCGTACTTTTCAACCAAGTTTAAATTGAAAAATGTTTGTTACTTATAAAACTTAAACTTTTATTTTATAAACAACAATAAAATTCTTTAGATTTAATTTAATAAATTTTTTTCCTGACTTATGGGTGAACAGTTTTCACACGTGGGTACAGGTAAGTAGGTCATAATCAAGGTAAACAATGGCAGTTTTATGGCTTGGGTAACCTTTAATGAATACCTTTTCAAGATTAATTAAAATCCTTGATTCCAATTCAAACAATAAACGAGCAATCAACACCGAACTAATTTTAATCAAAACAACAAGGTTCAATGGACACCCAAGCTGTCAACACATGGCCATTGTTGACAAAAAACAACTAATGAATCTGGCATGATTAAAACAATAAGAAAACTATAATAATTTTATTAACATTTATTTATTTTAATATGAAACAAATAATTATATACAAAATGACTTTCAACTTTCTCAACAATCTGAAAATAAAAATGAAACATGTTACGGAGTGAGTTACAAGAAGGAGTGTACATTCATTACGCTAAGGTCAGTAGAATGCATGTACGTTTTCATCAGGGTGCGCTCTATATTCAGGTGCGTTTTATGTGAGGACAAAAACACTTCTTCCCCTAAAAAACGGCCCTGCGCCTTATTTAGGGGTGCATTTTATTTTCCGCCAAGTATGGTAAGCAGATCTTTTATTTCACCTTAAACCCTTTCTAGCCAACTTCGCCACTTTTTTCTTATGGTATTTATATCTAAGTTTACACATTTTCGCTACTACTTATTATTTTTGAATAAATAACTCGTGAAAATAAGTTGATTTACAGTAATTCCTCAACTTTTTTTTTCAACAACCGTCGATTGTTAATAAAGTTTAAAAGTTTTGTAGTTAAACACAGTACATGAAATCAAACCACCATGTTGTTTATAATGGTAACGAAAGTAATCCTATGAACAGAGTTTATATAAAAACAAACTGCCACTAAAATCACTGCCTTAAGGGCGTGGAACCAGTCATAGTAAATATGCCTGTGCATTTTCCTATGTGTTTGTTTATTTTACATTGTCTAGAGGTATAGGGGGAGGGTTGAGATCTCACAAAACATTTTTAGCCCTGCCGCATTTTTGCGCCTGTCCCAAGTCAGGAACCTGTAGCTTTTGTTAGTCTAGTTTGTTTTTTAAAATTTTGGTTCATTTGTATGTTTCAGAGATTAGTGTGGCGTCCATTTCACTGAACTAGCATACATTATTATAGGGGCCAGCTGAAGTCTGCCTTCTGGATTTTTTTGCTGCTTTGAAGACCTATTGGTGGCCCTGGGCTGTTTTCTCCTCTTTGGTCGGGTTGTTATCATTTGAACCATTCCCCATTTCTAGTCTCTCTTCTAACTACGCATATCATATAAGAATTATGAAAAGTAAGAAATTAACAGTTTATTTCCTGTTTTTATAGAAAGACTTTGAAGCTGCTGCTAAGTTGTACAAGAAAGCGACAGAAATTACGGAGAATGAGACGACGTACGGAGGCAAGGCATTGTCTATACAGAGTTCTAGTGGAGAATCTACACTTAAAAATATGATGAATTCTTGATGTTTACTTTATTTTAAATCAAAAACAATAAAGTTTGTATCTAAAATTAACTATTGTAAAAGCAGAAATTATTGTGAATTTTTGGTTTTGTCATATTTGTGAACTGTCTCATTGATGTATCCAAAATCTCATACATTATAAAATTGTGATGGAAATTAATTAGTCAATTCCAACTCCATTGCATGAACACTAGTTACTAGATCAAACATGTGTCAAGGTTTGCAGGGAAAAAGAATAATATTCTACGTTTCGTGACCCAACCTTTCAGTATATGATAAAATAACATAAGCACTAAGATAATTTTTTCAGTTAAAATTTAGGAGTACAGGCTAAATTAGTAGCTTAGTCTATTTGAAAGATGAAAATAGCACTCTGTATAATTTTTGGGTTGGAATCGCAAACCTTGTCAATCTTTTCCCCTGGTTTGATACCATGCACGGGAGGGTCTCTTCCTATATTAAGGTATATACATATGTGCCGCTAGAATGGGTCCCTTTTTTGATGCATCAAATATATCAATGGGGTGCAATTTTACCGAGGAAATATATCAATGGGTCATAATTTTTCAGTTTGTTGTGCAACGATCTTCACTGAATGGGTTATGATTTCGCTGTGAAATATATGTATAGGTAGGGATTTCACAATTATTCAATATATGAATGGGGGCTGTTTTTTAAGTCCCAGCTGCACAACTGTACCCAAAATCCCATGTTGAGACCCCCCCCCTGTGCTACCATGACAGAATCTTGACACAAAATCTCTTACTGTGACTTGACTATGGGTGTTACTGTTTACCTGTACCTATTGTTCAACCAGATTGAAACATTGACAATACAATAGGGACATTTAAATTGACCAGTTGGTATAGTTAGATTTAAATCCACCTTGATGCTACCTGTACAGTTTTTTATTCACCTAACCCAAAATTTCAGCATGCTTTTTTCCTGAAGTTTTTCTTGACCTAGGATTTTTCTATCAAAAAATTGAAAGGGTAGAAATATTTTTGGTTTTCATTGTTTTAAATACCCAGTATTGATAATATTTCTAAAATTTACCAAAAAATCTTAATCAGTAAAACATTTTATTAACTGCATATTAATATGTATGAAAATTAAAACTGTTTTTACATAATAAATGATTCTTTAAATTTTTAACCCTGATACATAGTATTGTCCAGTTGTCAGTGAAACAAGAAAGAGCTATCCAGGTGTTTTCAGTTTCAATTTTCAGATGGATTATATGTTGTGCATTTCTTTATAATGTCCCTTCAAGATTTTCATTTTGGATTATGATATTTAAAATATTTGAAATCTATTGGAATCAATGTGCATAACATATTGGATTCATTTTATTTGAATTCACTTCTCAGATGCCATTTTATAGTAAATTTTCTTCATAAAATGTGGCTTGTTTTTTCCAAGAATGGATTGTCATGAAGGTATCAAGAAGGAATAAATTCATTCAAAATGTGTTGTGCGGCTTTAACATGATGATGTACATGTAAAATTCATAATAAGATTGGAGTATACCTTGCAGTGTTTTTATTTAAAATCTATTGTAAGAGGACTTTTGTGCAAAAAATACTGTGTTCACTCAAGGAAATTCAATTTGCATAATATGGATTAAGTTATCTTAAAGGTTATAAAAAATGAAAACTTGAATGCAAGAAGGAGAAATAATTTCAACATGTTTCTGTGGCTTTAAATGCAATTTTGAAAACATTCATTATAAATTTTGGGATATATTATAAGAGTGATTCACCTGTTTAAGGTTGCAATTCTGTAAATATAGACAATGCAATTTCCCATAGGAACTCCCTTTGCGGCTAAAACTGTGACACTTTTACTATGAAGTTTCGTGAAAAATAATATCCCAGAACGGAAAGTTTATATGCACTACTATTTTATTCAAAGGTCAAAATATAGGGCTGTGCGGCATATTTTCAACATTTATATGCCCTGATCTTCTAAGAGTTTAAACTTATACTAAAATTCTATACTATCCTTACCTTCATATTTGGACCTCCTAAGAATTAAAATTTAGGCGCTACCATGTTTTTCTATACTGGTTACATTCCCAAGTGATGTCTCTATGAGATGAAACACAGAGATCATAAATGGGAACCAGTACATTAACAAATTAACATATCTATGAATATTATATATCTCCCCAAAAGAGGCGTGGTTTGAGAAATAGCTGTATTTACAAAGTGCAACCTATACAAACATTTATTCAAATAGAAAACCTTATAAAAACACTTTTTCTCACAACAATACTTATTTATCAGAATTATAGCCTTAAGGAAATCACTGCATATACTCTAAGTTTCCTTTTACAGTACATTTTATACCCCTACCCCTATTTCAGTTTTTTAAAGAATTTGAAAACAAGACTTGAATCATTGCCAGCTTACCCTATGTGCATGTTTTCTGACATAAAATGTCTAAAACATGTTTGAAACTATTCTGATAACAAATTGAAAGCATTTTAGAATACTATAAATGTATTGTTTAGTAGTTAATCATTCCAACATTCAAGATTATACAAAGTATCCAATCCTGCCTGTGTCTCCAGTCCACATCTTACTGTATGCCTATTTGTCATTGAAAGTTCACAATTTATGTCTCAAATGGTCAGTTAAGAATTCTTGTCACAACAGTATCATCTCTACCCATATAACTAACATAAGTTAGTTAATGTATGAACTAGAAGTGTCTAAACAAAGCCATATTTGCAAAATATTATTTAAGAAGATATCAGTCTGGTGCATAAATTCACTAAAAGTTTGATAGAAATGACTGCTTACATCTTATTTTTGCATAACTTTCCAGCACAGTTATTGTTTTGTTTACAAAAGACCTTGAAAATAATAAAATCATAGCATTTACAAGTTAAATTATCTGTTTTATGACCCAGGGTAGGCATTTTTTTTCTGTTTTTTGCCCCCTGGGGCCTCACATTTCCTTAATATTTTCCCTGTTTCTAGCAATGTGGAGTATTTAGTATATATTTAGGATAGAACACACTATTGTCATGATTGTAAGTTTTATTGAGGTCTTTTTGTAATTCTAGCTTGTACTTTTTAATGCCGCAGTCACAAAGAAACACATTTAGGTGTTACGGCTTACTTTTGGGTTATCGACAGGACAAAAATAACCTAACAAAATTATTTAGGAAGGATCAACGAGTTTCAATGACTGCGAAGAGTAAATATAGGCACTTCTAAACAATTTAAATCACAAATAGGCATATATTATGAATTTATTTTGAATTCATGGATTTAAGTAAACCATGCATACTGTAAACTGTGAATTTATGCTGAGTCATCATAGTTAAGGCTCAGGATTTTCTCAATCTTCATGAAATATTTATAAAACTTCATATTTGAGTTAAATTCTTTAAAATCTCTGAGATAAACCAGATTTTGTGAAATTCTGTATGTTCAATTTTTCAACCCTATATAGGTTGCAATTCTGTAAATATAGACAATGCAATTTCCCATAGGAACTCCCTTTGCGGCTAAAACTGTGACACTTTTACTATGAAGTTTCGTGAAAAATAATATCCCAGAACGGAAAGTTTATATGCACTACTATTTTATTCAAAGGTCAAAATATAGGGCTGTGCGGCATATTTTCATCATTTATATGCCCTGAACTTCTAAGAGTTTAAACTTATACTAAAATTCTATACTATCCTTACCTTCATATTTGGACCTCCTAAGAATTAAAATTTAGGCGCTACCATGTTTTTCTATACTGGTTACATTCCCAAGTGATGTCTCTATGAGATGAAACACAGAGATCATAAATGGGAACCAGTACATTAACAAATTAACATATCTATGAATATTATATATCTCCCCAAAAGAGGCGTGGTTTGAGAAATAGCTGTATTTACAAAGTGCAACCTATAATGGGATATATATCATGGAAATGAAACAAAATGTTAAATTCATATAGTGGATATAGTCTAATGTAGTGATAAAGTGAAAAGAAAAAGTAAAATATTCCAAATGTTTGGATAACGTGAATGTGTAATTGGAAATAATCATTATAAAGTTCTGGATCTAATATTATTTAATTGGAACATATACTTTGGTAAATGAAATAAAAACTCAATACTGTGTATATAGTAAAATCAAGTGATATAGTAAAAATATATGAATAAACTTATCCAAAATATTTGTAAAGTGAGGATAATCATTTTAAATATGATAATGGAAATAATCAAATATTGCAAAATTCTGTACCTGTTTTTGGGGATATATATATCATGGGAAATTAAACAGAATATGGATATAGAGAGAAAATCTAGTTATATAGTGAAAAGCGTGAACAAATATTCGAAAACTTTCATAAAATTATGAAAATGTTATAAATTATTTCAGATAAAGAAAATGGAATACTGGATGAGATGTAAAATATCAGTGTCAATATTAGAGTAAATAAAATAGTTCATTCAAATATGATTTTGATATTTCAATATGAATATGCATAAACAATTTGTACAAGGAACATGTCAATAAGTGTAAAAACATATGTCTAAATGAAGGAATGCACACAGTTGTTCTGGTGTTTAATCATCCTGGAAATAAGTCAAGTAGTTCAGATTTCCAGAGAAGCAAAAACAAATTATTTTGAGTTATTTCCCATTAGAAAATATATTAAAAAGGGTTTTTTCAACAATATACAAGAAATCCAAGCACTCATAGTATTTGGCTATGAAAACATTAAGAGGAAATGTAGTGAAAAAAATTGAAAACAACACGTTTAATATTTTTTTTATTAAATTCGCAGTTTTTAGTTAATATAAGAACATGAAATAAGTTTGCGTCTAGTTATCATATATAAGTGGTCGTATCCTAGCATTATTCATACTATATAAACTAATTTAGACTGAATGCATATTATGTTATTCAACAAAGATAAAAATTGAAGCCTTGGTGCCATATTTATAAGTTTTGAAAAACCTATCTCAGTTACACTACAACAGTAACAATAAACAGGTGAAGTGATAGGACAGCATCCACGTAGACTCTAAATTAAAATACATGAGTGATCAAAAATATTTTCTTCCCTTTCAATTTGTTTTAATGAATAATCCTAGGTTAAGAAAAACTTCGGGAAAAAAGCATGCTGAAAGTTTTGGTTAGGTGAATAAAAATCTTTACAGGTAGCATCAAGGTAGATGAAACTTTTGGTTTGTTATATTTGAAATGTAGTATGATGCAACTTTTGTTTCTATACATAAAAACAGTTTACTGCCTGTTTTGAGGGAAGAATGTACACTTTGTTTCATTTAGTAATTTGTTTTGACTGTTGAATTTAACATTTTGACTACTCCAAAATTTTTGGAGTTAAGACATTGTATTTTATGCATATATGATCATTAAACTGCTATGCAATCAGTATTTATAATTGTGTTTTAACTATTTAATTGTTAATGATTGCCTCATTTTGTTATGCTTTGTATTTTTATCCTTGTGTCATGACACCTACTTTTAGCTATAAACTTCTGTTAATTTGATAATTTTTACATTAAGTCCTTTTAACATACTTTGAAACAATTAATTAACCTGATATTCTATTTTTGATTATGCATTCATATATCAAATTCGATATCAATATTTATATTCTTCTTTTTTTTATTGAATTGTTGGTTGTACTTTTTGATTTTTAGGATAATTTCTGTTATCTTTTTTATATATTGTTTATTAACTCACTATAGTGATATAA